GAGCTTTGAGGTTACAAAACACAAAGTTTACATACGTTATCTCATTTGATCCTTACTATAACCCAGTGAGATGCGCAGTATAGGTGGGTGCTAATATCCTCATTTTATAGGTGAGACAACAGAGGTTCAGAGAATTAAGTGACTTACCCAAGGTCACACAGCTAGTGAAAGCAGGAGGCAAGATTTGAATGCATTTTTCCCCTAATAGCAAATGAAGCATTCTTTTCATTATACTATGCTGCCTCCCTTTTGATTTTAGTCTTCCCAGCTGTAAAATGGGTATAGTATTTTTACTAACTCCCTCACAGGGCTGTTTTTAAAAAAATTTTTAATAAACCTTAAAGTTAGAAATTAACATTATTATTGTTCCCAGACTTGGTTTGGTTCCTGACTGATGGAGTGTCTGGGTAACTAAGTGTGTATGAGTGGCACAAGGTGACTCAGTGCCTGGGGTGTGGCAGCCTGGTTGGGTGATTCAGTGTTGATTGGGGGAACTCTTCCGGGGAGTGCTTCTAGCTGCCCGCAGCCTAAGTATTCAGTAGGACTGGCTCTACTAGACAGAGTAAGGTCTTGATCCCTGCCCAGGCTTGATCTTTTTCTTCTTTCCTTCTCCAGTCCCTTCTTCTAGCTGTGTAGCCCAGAGGACCGGACACAGGAAAGAGGGTCATAGGAGGTTAGATCAGAAGAGAGCTTTGGGAGATTACCAAAGAGGGAGCTTTGAGTCTGATCACCAAGTCCAAAACTTTCTTTTTTAGAAAGGTTGAAGCTGGAGCCTATAGAGGGAAAGAGACTTTTTTTTTTTTAATTTGGTGAGGCAACTGGGGTTAAGTGACTTGCCCAGAGTCAGACAGCTAGTAAGTATTATGTGTCTTTGGTCAGACTTAAACTCAGGTCCCTCCTGACTCCAGGGCCGGTGCTTCATCTACTGCACCACCTAGCTGCGCCCTGAAAGAGACTTGTCTGAGGCAGAAATGGACCTAGAACCCAGGTGTCCTGACTTCCAATCAAAGGCCACTGGATTCTTTCCCACTGTCCCTTCCAATCCCCAGTTCAGGGCTGAGCCCATAGGAGGGAATGAATACATTCTTATTGATTGATTTTAATTTTAGACTGTCTTCACTATCCTTGGTCAAGGAACTGAAGGTTTGGGTTGGTCAAGGAGCATTTATTAAGTGCCTAGTATGTCAGGCACTCTACTAAGCACTGGGAAATGAAAGAGTCACATGATTGAAATGCTGCAGTGGCTGCCACTGCCCTGCCCCTCCCCAGGGTGACTCGAGGCTAGGAAGCCCTGACACATCCTGCGAAGCCTCCTGTGAAGCACAGGAATGCCTGAAAGTGCCCAGGTCCTGAAGCCAGAACACTCCCCCCCCCCACCGCCCATGCCCATTGTTACTCTTTAAATGGTTTCTCTCCTTGTTATCTCTCCCAGTTTTTTGTTACTCTTCCCATTGTTAAAATCTTGCTGATTGTTTCTGTCCCATTACTACTGCTTAGTTCTCATTCCCAATGATTGCTAACTTCCTCCCAGATGATTACTCATAAATGAGAGCCTAACTAACCAGCCTGGGTGAGCTGGAAGGGAGCAACAGAGATTATCTCCCCAACCCCATCATTTTGCAGAGAAGGAAACTGAGGTGCAGAGAAGGGAAGTCTCTCTCCCAAGGTCACTCCTGTGATTATTACTACGGTTCCCTGCTTCTAGCTTGCCTAGAGGAGGGCCTGGTGTCAGGCTTCCCAGATTCATGGCCACCTGAGATCTTCTGTTTGTCACAGCTCCTTCCCTATGCCTCGGTTTCCATGGTGTGAGAGCTTGTTTGGTCCCAAAAGCCAAACGGCACAGACTGCTCACATTTATGCAGTGCCTTCTGAAGGTTTACCAAGTATTTTCCTTACAAGAAGCCAGCAAGGTGCGAGGTGTGAATCACAAGTATTCTTTGTCTTTTTTTTTTATTTTTTAATAGATGAAAAGACAGTCCTAGAAGGTTAAGGAACTTAGCGAAGGTCACACAGGTAGTAAGTAGTATGGTGGGATCAGAACCCAGGTCCTCTGGCTGACTCGGGCTTTTTCTATGACACCACAGTGGTGAAGCAGCTAGAGCACTGGGCCTGGAGTAAGGAAGACTCCATCTTCCTGAGTTCAAATCTGGCCTCAGACACTTACTGTGTGACCCTGGGCAAGTCACTTAACCCTGCCTCAGTTTCCTCATCTGTAAAATGAGCTAGAGAAGGACATGGCAAACCACTCCAGTATCTCTGCCAAGAAAACCCCAAAAGGGGTCATGAAGAGTGGGACATGATTGAACAACAACAAACAGTAGCTATTTCTGGACCGTCCTCTTGTGCTCCTTATCCCCATATCACTTCATACCCTTCTTCAAGATGGGAGGGAAACAGAGTGAAGGCTAATGTGAGGACATTGTGATTCACTTGGGGATTCCAGTGGCTGATATCCAGAAGAAACATCCCTAAGGTTCCCAGGCCTGGTCCAATTCCCCATCTCCCCTACTTACATTATTGCAGCCCGTGCATGTGGGAGGAGGAGGAGGACAAAGAGTATTTGTCTTTAAGCATTTGAAGGACTGTTACAAAGAAGTAACATACTTGCTCTGCTTGGTGCCAGGGGAAGAACTAGAATGGATCAGATTTCTGCTCTATGTAAAGGCAGATTTCTGCTCCCTAACAATCTGAGCTCTCTCAAAGCAAGAAGGAGTGCTCTGGGGGTGCAGTAAGCTCTGCCGTTCCTGGCGGTCTTCACTCAGAGGTTTGAGATGACAACCACTTGTTAGGGATACTGAAGAGGGGATTCCTGTTGTCTTCCCCAATTCGAATGTAAGCTTCCTGAGGTCAGGGTTAGCTTTCTTGCTTGTATTTGTATATTACATGCTCAGCATAGTGTCTGGAACTTAGTGAGAGTTTCACACTTTTTCCTTTCCTTTCTGTTTTGGCATGGGTAAGACTAGAATAGGGGTGGGGACCAGCAGCCTTCAGGCTACACTTAAGGATCTAGAAGGTGGACATATGTGGCCTTCAGGCCACAGGTTCCCCACCCCTGGACTAGAAGTTCTTTAAGGTTCCTTCCTATTCTGAAATTCTGTGATTTTATTTATCTCCAGGGAAAGCCAGTGGGTAGGGGGTATCACTGTGATAAGAGATGAGAAACAGGAGAGGCCCTCAGCTCCCCATTGCCGCAGGGCAAGGTCCACAGGCACCACGTAGGTACATGGAAACACATAGCACCATGTTTCAGGAAGGGCCCTGGATTTTGAGTCAGAGGACCTGGCTTTGAACTCTGGCTCTGTGGTCCTGGACAAAGTCCTAGCCATCCCTGCCTGTTTTTTTTTTTGGACAGCCTCTTGTACTGCACTATCTTCCCCTTAGAAAGCAACATTTCTCATTTTGAAGCCAGAAGGTACATATTTATAATGCTGCTTCCCAAAAGTAAGCTGTTCCCTGGCAAGGTTCCTTGGAGCCCCAGCCCTGGAGGTATGGTGAGAAATTGGGAAGGAAGGAAGGTACTGAAATGGAAAATAAATGGCAGAGTAGCTAGGAAGTGTAGTGGATAGAATACCAGTGGAATCAGGAGGACCTGAGTTCAAATCCAGCCTCAGACACTTGATACTTACTAGCTGTGTGACCCTGGGCAAGTCACTTAACCCCAATTGCCTCATCCTTCCCCCCAAAAAATGTCAACCACTTGCCCTATTGTTCACTTCCATGGGACACACAGTGGATACAGTGCTGTGGCTGGAGTCAGGAAGACCTGAATTCAAAATCTGGCTTTAGACATTTACTAGCTATGTGACTCTGGGCAAGTCACCTAACCCCGTTCGCCTCAGTTTCCTCATCTGTAAAATGAGCTGGAAAAGAAAATGGCAAACCACTCCAGTGTCTTTGCCAAGAAAACCCCAAATGGGGTCATGAAGAGTCAGACACAACTAAAAATAACTGAACAACAAAAATCTTTTCTTCACAGAATGGTTTGAAACAATGTCAGTAACTCAACAAATTTGCATTTGTGCCCCACAACTGTTTTAAAAAGCATGCCAGGTTCCCTGGGCTCAGCTTGGCCAGCCAATAGAAAGATTCTGCCCTGCCCCTTGGGCCTATAACAGTAGCAATAAACAGGCTTCAGGCAGCCTTGGAGACAGTTCTGCCCATCCTCCCTCCAAGGCCACCTTCCAGGGCTGGCCAAGCCTCAAGACCGTGAAACAAGCACCCTTCCTGATCCACACACACGGTGCTGGGAGGGGCTCCCTGCATCACTGCCCTGCATTCTGTGAACTATCCTGCTGTTCTCTATTATCTAGGCTCTGGCTAAACTCCTGTACACTTCTTTGTTCTTCCAGAGATTAAACAGCTGCCCAATGAGAAGCAGACCTCAGACCAATTTTCAGCAGTTCCTCCAGGGTAGTGAGCTAGCTCCTCTCCAGGAGACACCCCCAGCTCAAAAGCACCCCAGAGAGGGCCACATTGTTCATTTCAGACTTGAGGTTCTTGGTCAATGATCCCTGTGATGGGAAAGGTTGGGTCCCGAGGTTTTCACTGCTCCTCCTGACTTTTCCTCACTGATCAGGGCCTCAGTTTCCCATCTATAAAATGATGAGGGTGGATCCCTAAGGTCCATTCATTCTAAATCTTAGGCTCCTGTGATCCCTAAATCTCTTGGTAAGGGACCTTCAGTGGGTAGGTCAAAAATAAGGGATTCCCAACTAATATTGTCTCCTGGAAGTTAAGAGGGAGGGGAGAAAATCACTGCTTATTTCTGGACCTAGGGAGGCTTCATGAGCCATGCCTGCACAGTAACTCCTCCCCAGCACACACTTAGACACGCCTGCACCTGCAGCCACACCTGGCCTTGGTAGGAGTCAGGGTGAATCTCAGCAGGTGCAGGTCCTGGGCTGGACAGATTTCCACACCTGTGAGTTCCTGTCAGTGCTTGTCTTGCAGGGTGGGGGGAAAGAGGGCAGCACACCAAGACTGTTGCCTCAGGGCTTGAGATGGCTAGAGGGAGGCGGGGATGGGCTGGGGGAGCCCACAGAGGTCCTGCGGGGCCCTTGGGAGCCCTTACTCTGGCTGCATTGGCTGAGGATATCCAGATCAGCCGACAGGGGATTGGACCCAGTCAAGGTCAGCCCCCCCAGGAGTCTGAGAGCCCTGCTGAACCAGTCACTGCACCAAGGACAGAGAGTGTGGAACCTGATGCTGCCACTGGGGTGCTGAGGAATGAGCCCCACTCTCCAAAGGCTTCAGACCCTGAGCCCCAGCCCTGGGAGCCTGAACAGGTACTGGGGAACTGGGGAAGAGGATAGACAGATCCTAGCTCTGGGTACAAAGGGCCAGTGATCAGCTGCAAGGAGGGAGAGATGAAGGTATGTGGAAGAAGGGGGAGGCTTTGGGAGGTTGGTGGTAGTGAGAAGGGGCTTCAAGAAAGCTAGAGGCCCTGGAGGTTTAGAGGGAGGTTAGGATGGGAGGGAAGAAGGGCAGGGGTTGGAGAGGAGAAGGCTTACAGGGATAGATTGAGGGGGACAGCAGCTAAGAGACAGACACTGAAGCTCCCAGAGTGTAGAGGAAAGCTAAGGAAAAAAGGATGGAGAAATTAGAGGGACAGGCTCTTGGATGAAGACTCCTTACTCTTATACTTCTCTCTGTTTCCCCCTCCCCCCATCCAGCATCCTCAATGCCTTCTGGTCCCTGGTTCCTTGGCAGATTTTGCTGTTCAAACTGTGGTCTGCCTTGAGGATGCTGGTATCTCGGGGACCCAGGCCTTGGCCTTCAGTCTCTCCTCAGCCTTGGAGGCTCAGGGTGGACAGCTCCCAGAAAAGGTCAGCACCTCTTTGTAAGTCCAGCCCCTTCAGATTCAGACAACTCCTTCTTGAGTCCCATCTCTCCCTGACTCCCTTTTCCTTGACTCCTCTCAAAACCATGCTCCTGACTTTCTCCATCCCCTCTCTCGGGGCTCTCAGTCAGCTCCTGGGCTCCCAGAGCTTGACTCTTAGAATCCCAGGATCCAAGAAAACTGACCACTAGAATATCTAGACATAGAATGTCAGAGAACCACATCACAGCTTACAGGGGCCATCAAGTCTAATTCTAAAAAGGCAAGGCCAAAAAGCAAGGCACATACCCTTTCAAATATCTCCAGAATTGCCCTGTGGAAGAGGAATCACATTTGTTCTAGTTTGTTCCCTTCAAAGGTCAGAACGAGGAACTATGGGAAGTACCACAAGGCAGATTTGAGCCCAGTGTGAACTAAACCTGCACGGCAATGAGTGTTCCAAAAGGGCAGCTCAGGAACTCACTGTCACAGGGGTGGGGGTGGGAGTGCTCAGAGACAGGCTGGAGGGAGCAGATCTCAGTAAGCCCTAAGAGTGAGCTCACTCCTCCTTTCCTAGGTACGGGAGGTGGTCCAGGGACTGCATGGACAGATGGCCCAGTTCTTGGAAGGCAGGCCAAGGAGGGTGGCCCTGAGGGCACTTTGCTCATTGGCTGCAGAACACACACATGAAGTGGTCCAGACCCTATTGTCTCACTCTCTGCCCTGTGACAGGTATTGAGCATTCCCACTCCCCCTGGGCCTCCTGGGCAGGAAAGGACCCAGGTATCCTGGCATCCCCAGCTGCCCTCCCCTTCCTTCTCCTGAGGGCTGTTGTGTCTGACCTGGTGAGGTCAATTGGCACCCACCCCCAGCTCCTAATTAGTGCCCAACCCTAATTAGTGAGTGCTTTGCATTCCAACACCCACGAGCCAGGCTGGGCTAGGAGCCAAGATTCTAGGCTTCTTGCCTGCTTGGTCATAGATACTTGGGTCATGAACCCATTTGTCAGATTGGGCAGAGAAAGGCTGGTATCAGAGTCAAGAGAGAGTCTCCTCTCAGTTAGGATGTTCTCCTTTCATTCCATGGTTTCCCTTCAATCTCCACATTCCTCCCTATCCTTGGTCTCTGGGTCCCCTGACTCCCAAGTTTCCTTCTGCCCCCCTAGACTTCCTACAGTCTAGATACCCCCTCAATCATTGAGTCCCTTCAATCCTAGGGTCTTTCCCCTAAGATCTATGTCCTACCAGTTCCAGTCTTTCCTTTCATTTCCTGGGCCCCCTCTGTTCCAGGGATCTCCCCTAATTCCAGGGGCTCCCCCATTCCCAGTCTCCCCTAAATTCAAAGATCCATGTCAGTCCTATGGCCTCCTACCAGGTCCAAGGTTTCCTTCACTTCTCTCCTGGAACCTCCCACACTCTGGCTCTCATCTCAGTCTCCAAATCCCCTTATTTCCAGAGGTCTCCCCAAGTCTAGGGGCTCTTCATTCTCAAGGTTACTTGTTCAGAGGTACACAAAGAGGTATACAAAGCAAGGTAAATCCCCTAAATCCAAGGATCCTTTCAATCCCAGAATCTCTTCTCAGATCCATGGCTTCCCATATGCACCAACATGTCTTCCAATGGGAGCTCCCACAGTCTGGGTTTTCCCTCAGCCCTAGAGTCCCCATCCCAGAAGTTCGATGGTTCCTCTCCCCAGTCCTCACCCTGGGACTTCCATCCACCCAGATCCTCCCACTTTCCTCCTCCTTCCTTTATCTACAGTGCGGCAGCTGAGTTGTGGCGAGGTTTGAGCCGGAACCAGAGGGTGAATGGGCTGGTCTTGGTGCACCTGCTGCAGGAGGTAAAGGGCACACCCCAGATCCAGGACCCCAGCCCCAGCTCCAGCCCAGGCCTCAGTCCCCAGGCAGTCAAGCCCCAAGCCCAGGCATTGGCTGTGAGTGAAGTCTAGTGTGGGGGTAGCTTGGAGGGAGGGAAGGCAAGATGGAGGTGGGAAGGGAGAGGGGGGAAGAGTTTGAATCCCCATGTGAGGTCCAGAAGATAAAGACCTGGCACCTAAGAGTCTGTGGGAAGGAAGGGAGACAGATTCCTGGAGAAACCTGGGGAAGGGGTCATGGGCTGGTTCAAGGACATAGGTATTTCAGGATGTGTGAGGTATGTGCCCCAGACCTATCTGAAGAATTCTGTCTGTTGTATAGCTCACACATGTCAGAAGTGTCTTACATGGGATCAAAGCATGTCCCAGGAATGTTATAGTTATGTTTGAGGAGCGTCTCAGCATATCCAGGAATGTCTTGTGTGTCTCTGTAGGCCACAAGAGCACTAGGAGAGATGTTGGCGGTGTCAGGATGTGTGGCCGCCACAAGGGGCTTCTACCCACAAGTGCTCATTGCACTAGTTACACAGCTGCACCAGCTAGCCTGGTGTGCCCACTCCCCCCAAGTTCAAGTGAAGGTCCGGGGTCCTCCCCCCAACCATGCTAGGTGAGATCAATATGGGAGGGGGCAGTAAGGGTAAAGGGGGGCATTTGGCGACTTCACTCCTAGTCCTCATTTCCTCTGCCTCTTTCTTTCCTCTTCCACAGCTGTGCTGTGGAAGCTTTGAAAGCCCTGCTCAATGGGGACGGAGGTCGAATGGTGGTGACCTGCATGGATCAGAGTGGGGGCTGGAGGCGCCTTATAGGATCCGGGACCCATCTGGAGGGTGTCCTCCTGCTGGCCAGGTCTGAGCATGGGGACAGAGGCCCTGGGGGAAGAAGGATACACAGGAATACTGGATATTACAGGGTCCTCGGGTGGGGGGACATGAGGAAACAGAAATGAAGGGATGAGATCCCAGAAGGATGGTCTCAGAATCTTCCTAGTTCTTTAGACTGACCAGGACTAAGTACTGACTGGGAGCTGGTTAAAGGAAGAGGAGAATGTAGTGGAGCAGGGGGCAATGGTGCTGGGGCAGAAGGAAGATGGGGAACAGGTAGTCAGGATTCCTTCATCAGCTCTCCCTCACCATCTCCCCTTGCTATGTCTCCCAAGTGCCCTGGTGGCTCATGCTGACCACCACCTGCGTGGGCTCTTTGCAGACCTACTTCCACGGTTACAAAGCACAGATAAAGCCCGGCGCCTGACAGCTATGGCCTTCTTCACTGGGGTGAGTGCACTTGGGTTAACAGTGAAGGCCACAGAGACCCAGAGGCCTTTCATCTGTCCCCTTGCCCTGTTCCTCCAGGATTGTGTGGTGGAGAGAATCCTGGGTGGCTGTCAGAAGAGCTGGGTTCTAGGCCTGGCTCTGGTCCCTAGCTGCTATGTGACCTTGAACAAATTAATTTCCTTCTCAGGGCCTCAGTTTCCTCCTATGTAAAATAGTGGTGATAATAGTTTCTGGCTGCTGAGATCCTCCCGGGAATGCAGATAGGGAGAATGGTGGTGAAGAGGGTCTTCTCCATTCATGACCCCAGGCTGACAGTGAGGTGGGAGGGGAAGCCAGGCCTTCTTCAGTCGCAGGGTCTCCCCACCCACCCAGAGGTGTCCATTTCGTGAGTCACCCTATCCCAACACCTCAGCTTCTTCAGAGTCAGCCCACGGCAAAGCTACTGAGAGATGAAGCCATTGTGCAGCGTCTGACTGCCTGGCAGGTGGATCCTGAGCCCACTGTGCGCTGGCTTGGCCTCCTGGGCCTGGGCCACTTGGCCCTGAACCGCAGAAAGGTGAGGCATGGCCCGCACTTGGGGTGGTACTCCCTGGTAGGGGGGCTGGCCCATACATGGGGTGCTCTGGGGAGGGGCTGGCTCAGTAGTAGGGGTGGAGGACTGGCCTGCTCTTGGGGTGCCCCTCCCTGGGGGGGTGGCTTGCACGTGGAGTGCTCTGGGGAGGGGCTGGCCCACTCTTGGGGGTGCTCTGGGGAGGGGCTGGCCCGTTTGTGCCGAGGGAGGGCTGGCCTGTCCTTGAGGGTGCTCTGGGGAGGGGATGGCTCTGGGTGGGAGGGGCTAAGTGGGGGAAGAGACCAGGCCCCGCTCCCGGGGAATCCCTGGTCCTGGGGGTGGGGAACAATGGAACAGTCAACTCTCAGTTATCCGAAGGTGGACAAATCTCGCTCGGGGTTTATCGGAGGCCAGCACCTCATCCCATTTTAATGCCAACCTGAGCCAAACGACACAGGGGCTCTGGTACAAGGGCAGAAGCCACGAGTTACAAAATGAATGACGAAGGCCAGCATCAAGTAGAAAAGCAGCATTTAAATTATCCCCAGTTTGGGCTCAGGTCTCGGTTACCCACGGGTGGCAGCCACTCAGGCTTTTCCGCCGGCCGGCTGTAAGCAGAAGCCGCCACGGCGCGCAGTGCGGCCGTGGGTGGAGAATGGGGGGCGAGAGGATGAGCGAGGGGAGGAAGCGGCAGGACGGCATTCCTGACGGCCCTGGCTCCGCGCAGGCGCGGCACGTGGGGACGCTGCTCCGGGCTCTGCTGGGCGCGCTCGGCGAGGCGGACACGCGGCTGGTGGGGGCGGCCCTGGGCGCGCTCCGGAGGCTCCTGCTGAGGCCCGTGGCTCGGGCGCGCGTGAGCGCGCAATGCACCAGCCTGGGCTCGCGCCTGAGGCCGCTACTGGACCACGTGAGTGGGGCGTGGTGGGGGAAGAGGGGGGAGGGATCAGTGGATGGGTTCCGCCTCCTCCCCCGTCTCTCCCAGATTCCTTTTCCGCTCCTCTCCTCTGTACTGCCCACTCTCAAGCCCCGCCCCTACCAATCTCAGCCCCGCCCCTATGCCCGCCCCTCCGTAGACCCCGCCTTCTCTCCAGCTCCCTCTTCTCTCTGCTTCCAGGACCAGGATTCTGTCCGTGCCTCAGCCATCGGGCTCCTGGGCACCTTAGTGGGTCGTTGCTCCCCGCGGCGCGCTAGGGCGGTGCGTGAGCTGGTGATGGGCAGCCTGGTGACCCTGTTGCTACGCCTGCAAGACCCGAGCCTGGATGCTGCCGAGGTCCGAGGTGTCCCAACTTACTCACCCTGTCCTCTCACCAGCCTGGAGTCCAGACTTCCCCCGCCCCACCTTCAGTCCCTCTGCCTCCCTATCTTGGATCTTCCTATACAGGACCCCCATGTTCCACTTGAGCCCCAAGTTTTCCCATCCACCCTTGCTGAGCCCCAAATCCAGACACCCTCTCGCTATTCTTCAGGATTCATAATCAACAATTTATCTCTCCTCTGTTATGGTTTGGGGCAGGGGTGGGGAACCTGTGGCCTGGAGGCCACAAGTGGCCTTCTAGGTCCTCAAGTGTGGCCCTTTGACTGAATGCAAACTTCACAGAACAAATCCTGTAAAACTTGGATTCCGTCAAAAGGCCGCATCCTCCCCTGGGCCGGGGAATACAAAAACCAAAACAAACCAGTCCTTGCTATTTGGGAATTCACTGTTTACTGCCCAGGGTAGGTGCTTAATACATTGATTTGAACAAATTGAATTACTTGGAGAATACAAAATTACACAGATACACAAATACGGAATATTTACATTATTACCACAGAGGATTATTATAATAAATGGCCCCCGAAAATAGGTCCTGCCTGGCAATACAGTGAGGGTTGGGACCCTGGGTTTGGCTCTGCTGTCCCTTCTCCCTCCTATCTTCTCCCGTGTCCTCTCAGTCATGGGGAAGGAAGTGTATGTCCCTGGGCCTGACTATACCCTAATCCCCCCATTTGTCCCTTTTCTCCCAGAGTGCAGAGTGGACTTTAGCTCGTTGTGACCGATTCCTGCGCTGGAGGCTCCTGGAAGAGATCTCAGCCATGGTTCATTATGACAGCCCAGAGGCTCTAAGCCGCACGTGCAGACGACTGGTCAGTGGGGGCTTCCTTAGGGCTATGTTAGAAAACCAGAGCCTTGCCTGAAGGGCTCCCCTAAAACTAGCTCCTACTTCCCTCCCTTATCACCTCCATACTTGCACTTACTGCTCTTCCCCAGCTTCAGATGCAAACTAGAAGAAACAACTGGTGTTGTTCCCCTTTGGATTCCTGGCTAGGTAAAATTTACAATGGCTTATGCTAATGCCAATCCCTATCCTTCCACCTCACCATCTGTAGGGACTCACAGAGATGGAGCCATAAAGGTTTGAAGTCTGACCTCCAGCATGTACTGACTGTGTGACCATAGACAAGTCACTTAACTTTTTAGGGCTCTAGGCAACTCTAGGACCATCAGTGCAGACAAGGTGCTAACTTGCATGGGAAGAGGGAGTTCTCTCAGCCAGGAAGTTCCCTATACCAATCAAACCACAGGTTCACTATCCCTAGCCCCAACTGGGGAGTCTCTTTCAGCAAAGATTGCATTGTCCTCAGGTTACTGACAGCGGGAAATGTGGTGTCTCTAGTGAATAGCTCCTTTCAGCAAAGCTGGTCTCCCTTCATGGCCACAGGGAGGAAGCAGACCTCTCCTGTGCTCACTTGTGTTCTTCTCAGGGCAGGATTTGCCAGGAATCAATAAAGTCCTGGGCTTCTCAGGAGCTTTCCTCAGTGGGGCCCATGGGCTTTCCTCATGTTGCACTGAGACATCTCTTCCAATGCAGACCTTGCCTCCCTTTGTCCTCAGGCACAGTGGTACCCTGGCAGAGCCTCTGACTTCTTGAGCCAGGCCCAGGGCTACCTGAAGAGTCCCCAGATGCCCATTCGCCGGGTGTCAGCCATGTTCATAGGTAAGCTCTAGCTAGTCACAATCATTCTTCCAGGTGGCCAGCGCCAGGGGTCCTGAACCAACTCTATTCCCTGTAACTGGGGCTTGATTGGGAACTTACTGAGAATCCCTTTCAGCAGAGCCTTCTGTTCTCAAGCAACCTCTGACGTGATTTTTTTTCTTTTCTTTAAAAAATTTTCCTGTTATATTACTTGATCTTTCTCCCCCCCCCACCAGAGTGCCATCCCTTATAATAAAATAAGAAAAAAAGAAGGGAAGAAAAGGTCCACAAAACTAAACAACATATTTAAAAAATCTGAAGTCATAAGTAGTATCTCACCCCACATGGGCTCTCATTTCTGCAAAAGAATGAGGGGAGTTATCTCCTCATATCTCTTCTTTGGGGCCAATAGAATTCACTTAGGCCTGGAGATCTGACATCATCAGAAGCAGCTAGGTGGCCTCTATCCTTCATTTTAGTTTCAATTCCTAATTAACTGTTTTTTCTAGTCCTTCCTAGTCTGCCAATCATTTCCTTGGTGGAGAATTCTGATGCGGAATAAGAGTTAGGTGGTTCTTCCCTCTCTCCACTGCCTGATATCATTGCTCCATTTACCTGGACTATATATCTATATCTGATTTCATCTGTCTTTTGCCCCTAACCTAGCCTTAAAAAATGGCCTTTGTTGTCCTTGGCATTTTTTACCAGGTTTACTTCCTCTGGAACTAACCCTGTCACCTCCATATACACATCCTTGATTACCTACCTTCTTTCTGTACTTTAGGCAATCCAAAATCTCATCAGCGTCTATCCTTCTTGTACCATTCCTGCAGCCATCCTTCTCATTTCCTGTGACTCTTTTTAAAATGTGTTTGTCAGCAAGTTTGCTGAGTATAGACAACCCTCCTTCTTCCTCAGTGGGACTGTGTTTCATTCATGGGAGTTTCTCTTCCTTCTTGATAAAAGGCATAGGCCCAGAGACCTTTGTCAGACATTGGTCACATTCAGAGCTGGGGGTTGGGGGCGGGGGCTTGATGATCCAAACTGTTTGGTTTCAGGGTTTCTGATCCATCACATGGACCCTGATTGTGTCAACCCTGGCCTGGTGGACTCACTGCTCCATGGTAGGCAAGGGATGCTAGACATGTTGAGTACTTGGGGCTCATGGGGTGGGCGGTTTATTACTAAGGCAATGTGGATATGTATCAGGGTGACTCATGGGTGTAAAAAGACATAGTGAGGAACAGGATGGCCTGCCTTTGCTATGGTTCATGTGAGACAGTGTAGGCACTGGTTTCTGAGAAGATCTCTGATGGGCCTTGCCTAGGGTGCTCCTGTCTGAGGAGGAGATGGGATACACACACACACACATACACACACACACACACACACACACACACACACACACACACAGAGGAAAGGTCTAGATGGAGGTAAATTCTGGGAGCAGAAAGGATGGCTAAAAGGACTGGTGAGGTGTGGAAATCTTCCTGGAGAGGTGATTTCTGAACTAGGTTCTAAAGAAGGAAGGTATGGAGAAAGCTGGGCAGCTTAGAGTGGCAGGGAAACTGATGGGAAGGGAGGAAAGCTGAGGCCCTGGACCTCTCGGAGATCTCACATGCCACCTTCCCTGCCACTTTCCCACTACAGACCTTGGGGAAATGCAGTGGGATGCGAGCCTTGCATTCGAGACGTCTCCCACATCACCATGCACCAAGTACGGCTAGTGTGCCGGGACCAGGACTCCCCTGGACGTGGCAGCTTCTCCCCTTGGAAGCTGTTGTGCTGCTGGGGCCACCACCAAGAGCGGGAGATACCCATCTATGAGGACAGCCCTTTCAAGCCTAGGAGCCGGGCTGGCCTCTGGGGGTGTGGGGGGCCTTCCTGAGCTGCCTCCCAGCTCTGTTTGGAAGAGCATTGTTCATCCAAGGAAGCAAGGTCCCTTGCTCTTGCCCAGACCTCACCTAGGTATTAACAACCCAGGCATGGAAATGGTTTCCTTAAACCCTTCATGGGGGGAACCTTCCCAGGTGTATCTGACTGGTAGCCTGTTCCTGGGGGAAGGGTGGAGCCCCTGGACATTTGTCTCTTTGATGTGATGTCTTTAGGATGGTCACAGCCAACTGAGGGGTGTCTCTCAGACTTTCTCATTGTTACTTCCTGGCCCCAGAAGATCATGTAAACCAGGAACCCATCATCCCTTAATGTATCCAGCCTATGTCCCAAGCTGTTTATGTCAAACCCTCTCCAGGGGAAGTGGGTATTCCTTCTCCCTACCTTCCCCTTCCCCAAATGGAGAGGTTTCTCCTACCTGTGTCTTTTTGACTGATAGAGGAATTCCCACCTGGCCCTGAGAGGTGGGGCTCCCAAAGAGGAGGCATGAGGGTATCTCCTCTCTCCTTAGTGAAGGGAAGGCTGGAGGCAGGGACAGGGAGAGATCACAGGGAAGCCAAATGCTACCTCATATCCCAGCCCTTCAATAGCTCCTGTAACCCAATCCTTGTCCTCTGTCCTACTCCCTTCCAAAGTGATCTGTACATGGCAGAAAGCCTGAGGAAGGAGACAGCCCTGGGTTCTAGTCCCAGCTCTGCCATAACTAGCAGCATGACCTTTGTCATTTGCCCTCTCTGATTGACAGCTCTTTTGTAAAACGGAGACAGTAGTTCCTACCTCTTGGATAGAGAGTTGTTGGGAGGAAAGTGCTTTGTAGACGATGAAGCTATAGAATGAACGAGAGCTCCCATCCCTCATCAGTCTGGGGCATCAGGCACAGCCCAGGGGACCCAGGCCATAGAGAGACCCCAGCATGAGGGCAAGCTAGCTTTCCCTCTGTCTGATCTCCTAGCACTTTATAGACAGACTCTTTTGATGCACTGATTGATAGCATTTAGATATTTTTGATTTCTCTGCTGACGTGCCTTACCTATTAAGCTGTAAGCTCTTGGAGGGCAGGGGCTCCATCTTATTCCTTTCTGCCCCCACCCCTCCACTAAGCATGTTCCCCCTCCTCTGTAAAATGAGAAGAATACTTGCATTACCTATCTCATGGGGTTGTTGTGAGGAGGGTACCCTGTAAGTCCTAAACGGGATAGCAATGGGAGTGGTTGCTTTTATTATTGTTGGATGATGAATAGATGTCTGTTGAATGAATGAAGAACAGAAGAGTAAGTACATAAAGTGAGTAAGAGACCATGGGTTTAGGGCCAGGCAGTGTCAGACAAGAAAGGAGCTGTTTCTCCTGAATTGAGAGCAACCCCTAGATCTGAATGTACCTTTCATTAGGGCCATTTTCCACCCTGTTGTCTGGCAAGTACTTCCCTGCAAGCCTCTCCCAACTCTCCTGCCATCATTTCCCCAATATTCCACCTCTTGGTGGAACCTGTTGCTCTGGGAACCTGTCATCAGATCTATAGCTACTGCTTCTGAAAAGGGGGTCAACTGACTGCGCTACTGTTCCCCTTACCAGCCTTGTGCCTTCCCAGACCAAACATCCCTCTGTGGCCACCACTCTTTTACGTGTGATGTCTCCCCCTATAAAATGTAAACTCCTGGAGGGTAGGGCCTGTGTCATTTTTGTATTTGTATCCCCAGTGCTTAGCATTAGTGCCTTATACATCCTGCTTAATAAATACTTTTTTAATTCATTCATTCATTCATTCATTCATTCATTCAATGCAGTAAAGATCTAAGTGAGTAAACTAAAGGAAGATGGGAGATTCTGTGAAGAGACTGTAAAGTTGAGGAAATCAGGGACAATTATATTTCAGTTAACAGATTAAAGGAGGGTTTTGGAGCTGTATATGAAAATACAGAGGGAGATAGAGAGTCCACTGGACCTGTCAGGTAGGAAGAGTGGCTAGGAACCCTCCACAGGTAAAAGGGCTGTTGTCAAGATCAAATGCAATATTTGCAAAATTTGTAATATTAGCACAGTGTCTGACACATAGTAGGTACTATAAAAATGCTTATTCCTCCCCCACCTGAAATTTGCTTCAGGAAAATCTCTCGTTGTCACTTAGTAGCTTTCTTGTCTCATTCCCCATTAGGATTCTCAGCTTCTCCACTCCCTGGGACCTGCAAAGGAACACTCACATTATAGTTTAAAATACATTTACTGCATCACCTGGAAAGAGAAGACATAATATTATTCCCCAAGAAGCTAAGGTTCAGGCATCCCCCTGAACTAAAACAACTGGAAGCCATTGTTAGAAGAGATCTATGGTTGATTTCCTCCATGTCAGTCTTGCTAGGGGGGAACCATACTGTCTCATTACCCCTTTCTGTCTCTAGGCTGTTCAGCAATGGAATTAGGATCAGGAACTGTCTAGACTTTCTCCTTGGATTCTCTACCTGGCAATGGAGCAGTATCTCCACTTCTCTGCTTTGACTCTGAAAGATTTCTCTAGTGTCTTGTATTCATCCTCTTCCCAATCCCACCTTGATGTGCCTCCTCAGGCGTCAGTCCTCAGCCCTCCCCTTGTCTTTATACTGTATTTAACACAACAGGGGCTAGAGAAATAAATTTAAACAGTAGGAGTTAAATTGAATGTATTGGCTTGTAGATGTGCAAGTAACTTCCCTATTCCAAGGGCAAATAGTTTGCTTAAAAAAGCCTTTGAATGGAAATGAGTAGCCTCTTCCAAAGGTTCAATGATGACAACATCTAGACACAGATGTTGTATATCTGGGAGGATCTAAGCAATTACCATCCACTTCACACTTCTTCCATTTCATGATCAATTTTTAGAAACCTTCCCTTAAGTCTTCTCTTTGCTGTGGCACTCCAGTCTAAGGAGCAGAAGAAGTAGGTCAACCTTGGGACGGTTGGCTGGTGGGTTTTCCAGAGACTGGTGCAACTTATTACTCAAATGGATCTGTGAACTCATCAGTTTGGGAATTCTCCCCAAGGAGGCAGATCGAACCTATTGACACCTGCCTGTACTGTGTGATATGTTCCTATCCTCCCAAAAGTTCACCCCAAGGGTCCAACCAAAGTGCTGGAGGCCTTTCTCAATTTTTTATTACATTGAAAGGGAATAGTGGTTGTCCACCTGATGTTCCTTACTCTTTCCACGTGACCAGCCCAGCTTCTCTTCCTAGCATACTGTTCTTGCCAACATCCTTTCCCCCGTTCTCGATAGTTCCTTACACCCACCTCTACTTTTTCGTTATTCCCCTCTGTGTGAGACTGATTTTTAATTCTTTGGAGGCAATTGCATTCTATGTCTCATGCTATTTAGAAATACTAACAGAATGTTAGCATTGAAAAGACAAGCCTTTATTTTTCTGGGAATCTTGTGGTCAGCAAAGGAACATTTCAGAGAGGTTATCAAACTCATTCTCCTCCTCCTATTCAACTCTGGACTCAATTCACTGTCCATCTGAACTGTGTAGTGTAGATTCATATACTATTGGACAAGTCAAAATGGTATTTATCAAATGCAGCTTGAAATCCAAATAATAGCTATTCTTCCTCCACTTGGTCTTCGTTGTCTGGATGGATGGGCCAAACTCTTTTGAATGATCACAGATTTCTTTCAGCACTGTTCTAAGGCTTGATGAAATCAGCACAATTTCCTCTGCAGATGGGAGCATCTAAAGGACCTACTCATACACAGGAAATCCCTCTTTGAACCTGACTCTGGCAGAGCTCCTTTTATCACAATGGTGACTAGCTTTGGTGAGCATACATCCTTAGTGTTTTATGACTCACCTGATGTTCATAATCAGAAGGTGGTTGAACAGGGTTATTTTTGTTATTAGATCTTCTAGGGAATCTCGAATGATTTTGATATGTGGATGGGAGACATTTTATTTTAAAGAAGCCTGTAAAGTGGCATTTTATTTTACTGAGTAAATTGCTTTCCCACAATCAACAAGTAAGCAGAGTGGAATTTATATACTCTCCATCTTACAATAAATTATAAAATGGTAAAGATGTGGTCCATTGCTGAATATCACTTATAAGAGCCTGCTTCTTCTAGTACCCTGATTGAGGATTCCCTTGGTTTGCATTTGGATGACTTTCATTGATATTTTATTAGATATTGATATACTCTGGTAGCCATTTTTCCATTGAAATAACTTAATTCTGAACTATTTAAGTAAATAATTGAAAATAAATATGGAAAGTAGATAGAATGAATAATATTGACACCAACTGTAATCACTTCATTCAATTTAAACATTGTAATTTTTCTTTTCTTTTTAAAAATAAAAATTTATATTTTTTATTTTTATATCACTGCAATTATCCCCCTACCTCTTGCCTTCTTCATCCCATGTTCACAAAGTCCCTTTTTTAGAATAAGATGAAAAAGATAAAGAAGAGAAAAAAATCAGTGAAACCAATCAATACATTGAGAAAATGTGACACCTTTGGGCACTACATTGCGCCTTTGCAAAGGAGCAGGCAGAGCTATCTTCTCATGTCTCTTCTTTGGAGCCAAATTTATTCTTTGTAATTTTGTAACATTCATTTTTGCTTGTTTTGTGATAGTAGTTCTTTCCATTTACTAATCAATTCCCGTTAACTGCCATAAGAGTGAGACCAAAAAAGCCCAGACAGCGTCTTAATCATCAAACATACGACTCATTTGCTAGAGAGAGATAGCTGCCAACTCTCATATCAGGTTAGAATAGAAACTCATTTGTGAAATCTTACAAAGAAGGAGGATGGATAATTATAAGTTACTCTCTATATAATATGCATATTATTTGTATAATATAACTTATTGTCTCATAAAGCAGGGGGAATCAGTGCGGAGTAAAACAAGTTAAGGAAAGGGTAGCAAGATAAGCAACTTAGCAGTCATTCCAAGGACATTCAAGGATGAAAATAAAAGAATTATAAACAGAAGAGAAATGAAAAAGATATGCAAAAATATTTTTTATTAATTTATTTTGAATTATCAACAATCATTTCCATAAGCTTTTGAGTTTCAAATTTTTCTCCCTCTCCTTCCCTCCCTCACCAAGATGGCTCACAATCTGATATAGGCTGTACATATATGTTCCTATTAAACATATTTTCACATTAGTGATGTTGTAAGTAAGAATTAGAACCAGTAGGAGAACCACCAGAAAGAAGAAACAAAACTCAACAGAAGAAAAAAAAATAGCAAAGAGTATACTTCGATCTGCTTTCAAACTCCGTAGTTCTTTCTTTGGATATGGATAGCATTTTCCATCATGAGACCTTTGGAAATGTCTTAGATCCTTGTATGGCTGAGAAGGGTTAAGTCTATCAATATTAGTAATTGAACAACATAGCTGTTACTGTGTACAATGTTCTTCTGGTTCTGCTCATTTCACTCAACATCAGACCATACAGGTCTTCCTAGATTTTTCTGAAGTCAGCCTGTTCATCATTTCTTATAGCACATTACATTCATATACCACAACTTGTTCAGCCATTCCCTGATTGATGGGCATCCTCTCAATTTCTAATTCTTTGCCACCACAAAAAAAGCTGCTTATAAATATTTTTGTACATGTAGGTCCTTTCCCCATTTATCTGATCTCTTTGGGATATAGTCCTAGAAGTACTATCGCTGGGTCAAAGGGTATGCACATTTTTATAGCCCTTTGAGTATAGTTCCAAATTGCTCTCCAAAATGGTTGGATCATTTCACAATTCCACCAACAATATATTAGTGTTCCAATTTTCCCACATCTTCTCCAACATTTACCATTTCCCTGTTTTGTCATGTTGGCCAATCTGATAGCTGTGATATGGTACCTCAGAGTTGTTTTGATTTGCATTTCTCTAGTCAATAGTGATTTATAGCATTTTTTCATATGACTATAGATGGCTTTAATTTCTTCATCTGAGAACTGCCTATTCATATCTTTTGACCATTTATCAACTGGGGAATGACTTGTATTCTTATAAATTTGACTTAATTTTCCATATATTTTAGAAATGAGTCCCTTATCAGAGAGACTGGTTGTAAAAATTCTTTCCCAATTTTCTACTTTCCTGCTAATCTTGATTGCATTGGCTTCGTGCAAAAACTTTTCAATTTAATGTAATCAAAATTATCCATTTGCAAAAATAATTTTGATAAATTATTTTCTTCATCAAGGGTGGGGGAAACCACCACTCTTGACCCTAACACCTAAGTCCTGGACATGCTTGTAAAACAATTAGAAGTGGCAGTAAAGATAGCAAGACATCCAGATTGGACCCAGTGTTTATAGAATATATCCATGCTGGAAGCGGGACCCTTGTGTGGGCATTGAGGAACCAGGATACAAGTTATCTGAAGGAAGAGAAGGTACTAAAAGCCTGGAGGTAGGGGTGGGGAATCTCAGTCTTTATCAAGTTAACACCTTAGGCTTTATAATCTGAGCTGCTAATTTAAGGGAGTCAGGAGACGGGAGATGAGAGAGATCTTAGAAACCTGTTGTCTGTCCTTAAGCTAGGCAGACTTATGGTGAAAAGTTCCTGGGAGAAGTCAAGTCTGGAGCCAAATAAGAAGAATATTGTGTAGGTACATTGTAGACTACTGGACTAATGAATGAAAGTGAGGAAGAGACTCCCCCTAATTTGTTGTGCATGCAATCATTTGTACATAGATGTTTACCTGCTGTGTCCCACTTAGCTTCTGAGATGTTTGAGAGCAGGGACTTGGTTTTTTTTCTTTTTTTCCTGTTCCATGACCTGGCATGGTAAAATTTTTGCTGAGTTGACATTTTGTGGCTAACACTGCAGCACTTTGACCTCCCTCCTCATATCCTTTCCTCTCACTCCATAGCAGGCTCCTTTCATTTGCCAATCTCACATTTCCTCAATGAGAGCTTTTGCCCCACTTCTTGTCCACAAGCCCTCATTGTTGGTCTTGCTGAAACTTGCTTCTAACCACTATGTGTCTACCCCTTTGTCCTTTGGGTTGTCTGTCATTTTGATTCTCCAGAAGAACTTTCCCATATTGGTGTTAAAGAGATAAGCTTTTGTGTTAGAGCATGGCTTCATGTTATTGAAAATTGTGTGTTGTTTCCCAGAGACAATACGGCCGCTGTCCTCCATTTCAATTCTGGGCTTGCTCAATGTCCATCTAATGGGCCTGTTTGATATGTATGTGTATACACACACACACACACACACACACACACTATACATAAACACAGTGAAGGGAGAGCAACCACCTGGCTAAAATGCCTTGAGTCCATGTCACATGAGGACCACGTGAAGGAGCTGTGGATGTGAAAAGATACAGGGGCGACCTGCTAGCTGTGTACAATATGTAAAGGGCTGCAGAGCAGGAATGGACTTGTTCTGTTGACCTGAGAGGGCAGAACGAGGAGCAGTGGACAGAGGCTGCAGACAGGGAATGAAGGCTTGATGTTAGGGAAAACTTGCTAATAATAAAAGCTGTCCAAAAGGGGAATGAGTTGCCTTGAGAGGCGGTGTGTTTCCCTGCAATGGGGTCTTCAAGCAGAGGCTGAATGACCACTGGTCTAGTACATCACAGTGGGGATTTCTTTTTAGCTCAGCAGCAGGGGAAGGCCCAACATACAAATGTCCTGATCCTGTGATGTGAAACAGGGCTGTCCCCTAATCCACTGCGCCTGGGACTGACATAGGGGGAGGAGGTATCAAATGGGTGGGGAGAGTGGGTGCTAGGTCATCAGGCCTCAGTGAGAGCCTGCAGCATCACCAGACTCCCATACAGTGCACAAAGTGAGTGCACAGCACTGGGGTGCCAGGTAAATTGGGGTTCATCTCCTGAGAGCCACAGCCCACACTCTTCCAACAGGCCACATGTCAGGATTGAGTCCTCGTCCTGGCCCCGGACAAAGGACAGCAGCTCTGAAGGAAGGGAGAAAGGCTTCTTCTTGGTTTGATTGAAGTTCTCCTTCAGAATTGCCTTCACCTATGGGAAACAGGAGCAGAGTGAACCCAGGCTCTCTGGGGAAGGGCACGGGATGCTTTCTAGTTGTTCTGAGAAACCAGGGTCCTGAGAGAAGTGCTAGAGCAGACCCTTGAGGCAGCTGCGTGACAGGCAGGAAACGCTCTGAGGTCAGAACTCATCCCATTGAGTTCTGGGCAGCAGGGCAGAGAAGGGGGCAGGTCATCCACATAACTGAAGCTGCCCCATTCTAGATTGCTCCCCCTCCCCCATTTCTTACTCATTCTCCAGACTGCCCATTCCAAGGCTTCTGGGAAGTGGTGGCTGCCCAGCTTACTTCTGGGAAGGAAGCAGCTTTTCTTACCAGTTCTACCTCCTGGGACAGGATCTGTTCCTTTTTCTGTAGCAACTGGATCAGGGCTGGGGACAAATCAATCAGTCAATCAGGTCTTTTCTAAATGCCTTACCAAGGGCTAGACTCTGCTAGGTGCTTAGGGTAGAAAGACAAAAAGGGAATGGTCTCTGCTCTCAAGTAGCTTATACTGTGTGAGTATGTACTTGAGGGCACATATGTGGGTAAGTCTATACACAGAGGACACAGAAGGTATATACAAAGTCATTTGCAGGAAGACAATTGTGGGGAATCAGGGAAAGCTTCATGTAGGAGGTGGTACTGGAATGCAGCTTTGAAGGAAGCTAGGGATTCTAAGAAAAGGAATTGAGGAGGTAGGTGCTTTCTAGGCCTTGCAAAGGCATGGAGACAGAAGAAATGCTGTATACAAGGAATAGAAAGAATGTAGAAAGTGAGAACTAGGGCAATGGTGTATAATGAGCCTGGAAAGGTCCACTGAAGGCAGATGTCAAAGGGCTCTGAAATGCTTAAAGGAGTTTAAAGGGCAGCTAGGTGGTGCAGTGCATAGAACACTAGGCCTAGAGTCAGGAAGAGCTGAGTTCTAATCTAGCCTCAGTCACTTACTAACCATGTGGCCCTGGGCAAGTCACTTGACTTTTTTTGCCTCAGTTTTCTCTATTGTAAAATGGGGATGGCAATCATACTTATCTCCCAGGATTGTTGTGAGGATCAAATGAGATAATATTTGTGAAGTACCTGGTACATGGTTGGTACTTTATAAATATTAAATGATGATGATGATGATGCCCGAGGGAGAGTGAAGCCACTGAAACTCCTTTTGCAGGGGAATGACATAGTCACGCCTGAATTTTAGGAAAATTCCTTTGGCATTCATGGGGAGGATGTGTTAGGGGATAGACTTGATGTAGGAAAATCAATTAAGAGGATTCTGTAATAGTGATGAGGAGGTGGCTGTGGGATAGTGAGAAGGGGATAGATAATAGAGAGGGAGAATTTCTTTTTTTGTGGGGCAATTGGGGTTAAGTGATTTGCCCAGAGTTACACAGCTGGTAAGTGTTATGTGTCTGAGGCTCAACTTGAATTCAAGTCCTCCTGACTCCAGGGCCAGTGCTCTATTCACGGCACCACCTAGCTGCCCTAAGAGAGGGAGAATTAACAAGACTTGATGACTGATTCTGTGAGGTAGATAAGGGTGAGGAAAGAGTGGAGGATGGTTTTCAGATTTCTGATCCTGGATTCTAGGATGGTGGTATCTCTGAAAAAAACAAACGAGCAAACTTAGGAAGAGGGATGGGTTTGGAGAGAAAGACATTGAATTCTATTTTTAGGTTATCATGAATTTCTTATGTCTACATGATATCATCTTTATAATACCTGTCAAATATCTACTGTCCTCTCCTCTGTTACTGGCACCACTCTCATACAGACCCTTATCATCTGACTCTTGGACTCCTGCAATAGCTGCTGTTGGGTCTGTCTGCCTCAAGTCTCTCCACCCTCCCATCCAGTCTCCATTCAGCAGTGACCTCCATTCAGATCTCCATCCACCTTCCTGCTTAATAAAACTCCAGTGGCTCCCTATCACTACCAGGATCAAATATAAAATCCTCTCTTTGTCATTTAAAGCATTTATGACCTGTCTTCTCCCCTGACTTTCCAGTCTTCTTACATCTTATTCTCTGCCTCTGAGCATTCTTTGATCCAGTGGCACTGGCCTCGTTGCCCTACATAAGACACTCCATCTCTTGGCTCTGGGTATTTCCTCTGGCTTTCCCTCATGCTTGGAACGTTCTCCTTCCTCACCTCCACCTACCCCCTTCCCTGGCTCCTCTGAAGTTCAAACTAAAACCCCCATCTTCTACAGGACACCTTTCCAGACCCCTCTTAACTCGAATGCTTTCTCTCTGTGAATTACAGCTTGTTTGTACATATTGGTTTGCTTGTTGTCTCCCCCGTTAGATTGTGAGCTCCTTGAGGGCAGGGACTGTCTTCTGCTTCTTTTTGTATCTTCAGGGCTTAGCACCATGCCTGGCACAGAGTAAACCCTTATTTACTATTTGGCTAACTACTGGGGAATTCCAGACTAGGGTTGGCTATAGGGATATGGGCCATCAGCATAGAGATGAAGCCATAGGAGAGGATGAGATCACTCAGTGCTAGTATATAGAGATGAGGGGGCTGTGGACTACATCCCATAGTTAAGGTTTGGGACATGGTGATGATCTAATAAAAGAGACTAATGAGTGGCTAGATAGATAGGGAAAAAACAAGACATAGCAATTTCATGAAAACTCAGAGAGGGTAGTAGGTACAGGAGGAGATGATAGTCAATGTTGTCAAATGGCATAGAGGACTGAAGGATGGGATCTGAGAAAATGTCATTGATTTAGGCAATTAAGAGATTGTTGGCAACTTTAGACAGAACTGTTTCAGGTGAGTGATGAGGGTAGAAGTCAGACTGCAAGGGATTGAAAAAGTGAAGGCCATGTATTGAGACAGCTTTTCCTAGCTGTTTGGCTATGATGGAAGAGAGATACAGGGTGATAGCTGGATAGGGACAGTAGGGATTTCAAGAAATGGGGAACTGATTGGTTAATATGACAAAAAAGGAAAATGATAAATGTTGGAGAAGATGTGGGAAAATTTGAACAGTAATGCATTGTTGGTAGAGTTGTGAATTGATCCAACCATTCTGGAGAGCAATTTGGACCTATGCCCAAAGGGCTATGAAACTGTGATCCAGAAATACCACTATTAGGTCTGTATCCCAAAGAGATCATCAAAAGGGGAAATGGACCCACATGAAGAAAAGTATTTGTAGCAATACTTTTTGTAGTGGCAACAAATTGGTTGAGGGGATGCCCATCAATTGGTGAATGGCTGAACAAGTTGTGGTATATAAATGTGATGGAAATGCTATAGGAAATGATGAACAGGCAGATTTCAGAAAAGGGAAAGACTTACATGACCTGATGCTGAGTGAAGTGAGCAGAACCAGGAGAACATTGTATACAATAACAGCAATGTTGAGCAATGACCAACTTTGGTAGGCTTAGCTCTTCTTGCAATACAATGATCTAAGACAATTCCAAGGGACTCATGATGGAAAATGCTATCCACATCCAGAGAAAGAACTGTATAGTCTGAGTGCAGTTTGAAGCATACTATTTTTAATTTTTTTTATTTCTTGTGATTTTTTCCCCTTTCATTCTGATTCTTCTCTCACAACATGACTAATGTGGAAATATATTTAATGTGATTGTCCATGTATAGTCTATATTAGATTGTTAAATGTCTTGGGGAGTGGAGAGAAGGAGGAAGAAAAAATTTGGAACTCAAAATCTTATAAAAGTGAATGTTGAAAACTATCTTTACATGTAATTAGAAAAAATAAAATACTGTTAAGTGGAAAAAACAAACAAGAAAAAGAAATGGGGAAGATCTGAGTGTGCTTGTAGGTTGAAGGGAAGGAATCTGGATAGCTAAAGAAAGATTAAAAATTAGAAGAAGAGAGGGGATGATTATCAGTGCATTCTGCCAGAGGAGATAGAAAAGCATATCATCCAAAAATATCAGGATTCACCCTACTGAGGAGAAGGGCTTGATCTTCATCAGACAGTGGAGAACAGCAGGAAAAAATGGTGTTCTTGAGATGTAGATTAGAGGAGAAGAGAAAACTGGAAAATTGCCCCTAATTTCATAGTGAAGCATAAAGAAAGGGGCTTTATGGAGAATGAGGGGGTAGGGGATAGTGTGGAAGGCTGGAAGAGAGGAGAGATGGTTTGGAATAGCCACTGTGGGAAGTGAAAGAGGAAGCTTCAGAAGAGTAAAAAGATTGCCTTGGAGCAGTAAGGGCCCATTTGAGATTTTTGTTGTTTAGTCATTTTGTCATGTCCAACTTTTCATGATACCAGATGGGGTTTTCTTGGCAAAGATACTGGAGTGATTTGCCATTTTCTTCTCCAGGGATTAAGACAAACAGAAGCTGAGTGACTTGCCAAGGATCACACAGCTAGTGAGTTTCTGAGGCTGGATTTGAAGTCAGGTCTTCTTGACTCCAGACCTAGCACTCTATCCACTGAGTCACCAAGCTGCCTCTCATTTGGGATTAAATAATATAAATCTGTAGTGGACCCCCTTAGCCTAGTTGTGTGATGGCTGTGTGAAATCCTCCAGAATAGCTCAAACCAGGCACTGAAGAGACAGTGCTAGTGGACAGCCCAGGGTATCAAACAACAAGCATGTATTAATCAATGACTGTGGTGGGCACTCTGCTAGGTGCTAGGGATACTAAGACAAAACAAACTAAGACAAAAAGATCCCTTGAGGATCTCATGCCCTAAAGGATTGGGGATGGGGGCAAGAAAACATGTACATCTATAGGTATGTACAAGCTATATAAGGAATATAATGGACTGGGATAGGGATACATGGTACTGTTTTTGGGGAAGTCTACCAACTGTGAGGATCAAGAATGACTTCATATGTCCTTGAACTTGGTCCTGGAGGACACTAAGGATTTTTTTTTTTAAGGGTAAGCCACTTTTATTGAGGGAAAGACTCAGAATGTTAAGGGCAGCTAAAGAGATATGAGGGAAACAGATCAACTGGAATTCCAGGTGGAATTGGGCACCCTGCTGGGGTTTAGAGGAAAAGGTGCACTTTTTCTCTCCAGTCCAATGAAGTCTGGTGTTTTTTAGGGTTTTTGTCTAGGTCTCACTGGACTAGGCTTTGGGGAAAGCAAGTAAGAATCCTGGAGCTGACAGGGCATATTACTGAGTGGGGGGAAACACTTGCAGAATTGGTGGTTAGATGCTATTCCAATTTCCCTCCTGAAAGGACAAGAGACTTTGAGCCATTGCTGATGGTCTTATTCTGACAGGGTAATTCAGCTTCTCTCTCAGGTGTTTTTGAAGTTCCCGGGGGATTTGTTTATCAAGTCAGATATTCCTTATGCTACTTTGATTTATCCATTTAATGGTCCTTTTGCTTTCAATTCTATTAATTTCTTCACTTTTCAATAATTACTGCAGTTAGAGATTTTTGATTTGTTGTTCCAGTTTTTTCCTTAAACTGCATTCCTGATTTCTTGATCTTTACTATTTGTTTTTTCTCCACTTAATAGTATTTTATTTTTTCCAATTACATGTAAAGATAGTTTTCAACATTTCCTTTGATAAGATTTTGAGTTCCAAATAGGGAAATTAGGAAGCGGGGTTGGGGTTTTGGGGGAAAAGAGGTGTCGAGATTTTGACTTATTTAGTTGGAGATGTCTATGGGATATCCAGTTCAAGATGTCCAATAGGAAGTTGGTAATGGGGGATGGGAGCTCAGGGGAGAGACTAGGACTAGCTATACAGATCTGATAGTTACCTTCATAGAGGTGTTAATTAAATCCACAGGAGCTGATGAGCCTAGCCATGTAGAATCAATGAGCAAGGGCTGAGAACTATCGGGGAATACTGTGGCCCATCTCCAGTCAGGGCGGGGTCCTAATGTTTCCTGTCCCTGGGAAGTACAGGAAGGAAGGATTTAAGGGGACAGAGCAACTTTCTTCTCATTGATGGACTTTCAGAGGGGAGTCAGTGCCATATGAAGGAGAGATGGCTGGCTGAGAATAACTGGAATGGGCTCTGCCAATGCAATGTGTAGGTGTATGGCTTTGGGCAAGTCATTTCCCCTTCTGGACCTTTGTTTCTCCATCAGTGAAAGAGGGTAGTGATTACCTGTCTGCTTTCCACCTTATCAGGATAATGTGAGGATAAAAATACACAGAAGATTTGAGGGGTTATTTTTGGTTGTTGTTGAAAGAAAAGCTTAATCTAGAATACTAAACACCTCTTAGGTAGGAGCTGAAAGGGTTTTGTTTCCTTTTTCTTCTTCTTCTTCTTTTTAGGCGATTGGGGTTAAGTGACTTGCCCAGGGTCACACAGCTAGTAAGTGTCAAGTATTGGTCTGAGGCTGGATTTGAACTCATGTCCTCCTGACTTCAGGGTCCATGCTCTATCCATCATGCCGCCTAGCTGCCCCAAGGGAATTGTTTTCTGAGTATTAGTGTCCCAGGGTCTACTTTGCCCCCAATCTCTGGTCCTACAATCTTTCTTACCATTCAGAGCTCCAAGGAGATAGAGGAATGCCCCTGCTAGTTCCTCCACAAGTTGTCCATTCCAGTCTTGCAGGTTACTTAGGATATCGCCTGTCATGCCCTTTGCCTTCTGTGGGGGTACCCCAGTGTATAAACTCTGTTCTAGCTGTGGAGGAAAGATAAGGTGAAAGCCGAATAGTGACAGTGACATCTTCCTTCCCAAACCAGCCCCTTGGGCTCCTGGTCAGGCTTGCCCTGCCCCCAAATGACAGTGTTGCCTGGGAGAGATCCTGAGCCCTGGGGCAAACCCTGGAAGGGTTTGGTTCTACCATCCCACTCAGTAAGTGAAAAGTGAGAGGAGGAAACTCATACATTCATATATAGCCAGTGTGGAGATATTTTCCCATTCTTCTTCCCTTTCCCTGTTTGAGTCCCTGGGGAAAATAAAGAGATTATTCCCAAGGAATATGCATGGTGATAGGCAGAGCTGGTTAGTGGGAAACTGGAGAGCAAGAGAGGAGAAGGGTCTATAGGGATACAGTGGTAGAAACCAGAGGAGAGGAACTCTTGAGGATATTTTTTGCTCTTCCTTTTATAATAGAGAGGATGTCATCTAAAAATTGAAAAACTCTAGAGACTTTCCCTTTCTTGGCCTGAAAACCTGTGAAACTAAGGGACAAGACTACCATAAGGGTGATTGAACAAAGGACTCCTGGTCAACTGACTTACAGCATAAAGTGAAAGAGAGAGAGAGAGAGAGAGAGAGAGAGAGAGAGAGAGAGAGAGAGAGAGAGAGAGAGAGAGAGAGAGAGATCACCTCTCAAGTAGCAGGACCAAGACAGGATTTGTGGAACCTCAGTGGAGGCTAACTATTCCAAACTGTGGATCTGGGAAGTTATACACATCTCTGAAATTGGGAGGAGGGGAATGTGGTTTCAAGCCACCTTTTTACCCTCAACTCAGTTGATTTTGTCACAGAAGGCCCAGAGCACTGACATTAATGAGATGCTAAACTAACTGTAAAAATGTTTCTTTACACTCTGGTCCCTTTAAAGTTCAAAGGGATCTCTGCTTGACTCAAGATGGGAACAAACTACATCTTTGAGGTTTTAAGTAGCTAGTTTTGGATGATTTTAGTAGTTTGAGTTGGAGACTTTTGTAAACAGGGAGCTGCCTATGGAGGACCCCCCTGCAGGTGTGAAAAAGGTATTTCCTTTCCTCCCCTCTAAGTTATATAGCACTGAATAGGAGCTACTAGAACACTTCAAACCAACATGGATATAGAGAGATGTCAATCAAAGGAGGAAGCACCATCAAGAAGCATGGTCCTTGGCAGCAGAGAAGACAGTCAGATTATGGAGAGGAGCAGACCCTAGGAACTCAGCTTAGCAAGCCACCCAACAGAGATGCTACACCCAAGGGGGTCTATGGGAAGATGCTCTGAAGTGATGAAAGCTTACAGGCCCTACAGTAGCTGGAGTTTTGTGTATTCTACATGTGCTTTACTGTCATTCTGCTCTATGTCTGAGTCCACTCTTGTCATGGACAATTTGTGTATTTGTGGGAGATTGCACCCCAGGTTTAGTTGGGGAATGTTTTGTACCTTCTGCTTTTGCTATGCCATTTGAGTAAATACTTCTACTATAAGATAAATGAGTCTACTGGCTGATTATATGTGGGAAGTATACCAGTATGGGCTTGTGAGATACAGAGTTAGTAGTTTGTTCTTAACCCTAAACCTGAGGTAGCAGCCACCCTATGGGGACTTAAGCAACTCTCAAATATGAGAACGAGTTGGGGGAAGTAATTCACAAAGGATATTATACAAGGATTTGTTTTCTTTATCTCTTTCTAATAAAATTTTCTTCTATAATAATATGAATTGCCTGATTATGGCAGGCTCAGTATCTTTGGGGGTTACCATGCATATATTTTTTGAATGAGAGCTGTAAATCAAGAGAATAACAAAAACCCTCAATAAGTATTGGATCTTTCATGTTGTAAGAAAGTCTTATGACTAAAATTAAATATAAATAATTAAAATTGGCAAGGAAGAAAGAGATCTAGTCTAATTGCTTCATTTTACAAAGGAGGAAACTAAGGCTTAGAGAAGAAAACACAGCACACAATGACCTAATGGAAGAGCTAGGGTTTCACCCCAGGTCCTTGGATTCCTTGTTCAGCACTCTCTACTCCACCATCCTCTCGAATGAAGTAATAAGTTTCCAGATCCTGTGCATGGAACAGTGAACGGTGGATGGAAATTTTAAGTGAAAATTAAGACAGCAAGAGAAAAGGAAGGCATTTCAGCAGGAAAAAAAGAAGTCAAATAGTTGCTTTTGGATGTCGGTGAGCAATTGAACATCTCTTTGGCAGATGTCAGTCTTCATAAGGATAGATTTTGTCAAAAGCCAATGGAGTCATTTTGACATATTCCTTTTCGTGTCCCTGAACACAATGACAGGACTGACCAATGATGGGACATTAACAGGCCCAGTCCAGTTATTGTGGAGTTGGCATTGGAAGTAGAAGAACAGGGAGGCTCCAGTCACTGACTGAGGACCACAGGGTTTGGATGGCTTCCTAAGAAGGACAAAAGAGTTGTACTAGAAGAGGGTTTGGGAAATGTGGGGAGATGGTTCTATCTCCATCCCTCCTCCTTAGTCCACAGGAGACCCTGAGTAAGAGATCTGCATCCATCCACTTTAAAACAAAGGCCAGGGGCAGCTAGGTGGTGCAGTGGATAGAGCTCCAGCCTTGGAGTTAAGAGGACCTGAGTTCAAATCTGACCTCAGACACATAACACTTACTAGCTGTGTGATCCTGGGCAAGTCACTTAAACCTATTGCCTAGCCAACACCCCCCCAACCCCCCCCCAAAACAAAGGCCAATTAAACAAAGCTACAGGTTCTCCATCATCTCCGAGAAGGGACAGGAAAACCAGGGAAGTTTCCAGAGGTGAGGAAGAAAGAAGCCCATATCTAGTCTTATCACAAATCTCTGTAGTGTTGTTAAAGAAGGAATTGTCAATAAATGAGCAAAGCAGTAGAAACAAACAACCAGGAATGAAATATGATATTTAGATCTGTGGAGAGTTAAGTATGATTAGTCACGTATTCTTCACCGACATCCTCTGAGGTCTCATTGTAACAATAAAAATGATAGCTAGAATTTAAAGCTTTGCAAATACTGTTTCCTTTCTTTTATTAGGCAATTGGGGTTAAGTGACTTGCCCAGGGTCACACAGCTAATAAGTGTCAAGTGTTTGGTCTAAGACTAGATTTGAACTCAGGTCCTCCCGACTTCAAGGCCAGTGCTGTATTCACTGTGCCACCTAGCTGCCCCTATTTCCTTTCTTCTTCACAATAAGCCTATGAGATCAGTGCTATTACTATTATCCCCATTTTACAGATAAGGAAACTGAGGATGAGAAAGGATAAATGACTTGGCCAAAGTCACCCAGGAGTGTATGAGGCAAGATCTGAACTCAGATTTTCCTGACTCCAAGTTCATCTCTTTATCTACTGTGCCACCTAGCTGGGTTATAGAGGAGAGCTTCTGAGGCTTAGCTAGCAGAGAATCAGTTCTAGTAGTCCCTACTAGGTTGGAAAAGCTTAGAGTACAGGCCTGGTGACCAGTTGGTGCCTTTTGCCTAAGGACAAGCCTAGGCAATTTCAGAGAGCATCATAATCAGTATGGCAACAGTTGAAGAATTTTGGGGGCCCCAACAACTTCTGAAACTGTCTCCTAGGGAGTGAAGGTTCTGTGTCAGTAGAGAGAATCCATATGGGGCTCTTCTCATGGATCCTTCTTCTTAAGCCATTCAAGTTTTGTCAGTCTCAGTATCTGTATGTCACTAGATGATAATCTCCATGAGGAGCTTTTCTTATTTCATTATTAATCACTAATCAATCAATTAATTCTTATTTCTTACATTTCTTCTACCACTGAGTACAGTACTCTGCACACAGCAATTGCTCAATAAATGTTTGCTTAATTGAATTAGATATAAGTAAGCTTAAGACAAAGGATAGCATTAAAGGGTTCAGACACAGATAATTCAGATATCCAAAGGCCCCCCCTCTAAGAAAAAGAAGAAAGAAGAATGATAGGAAGCACTGTGTTAACCTGAAGAAATCAGAGCCAGGAAAAGGGATATAGGTCAATCCTGGGAATAGAACGAGTCAGAAAGACCTAAATTCAAATCCAGCCTCAGGTATAGATTAACTGTGTGATCCTGTGCAAATCACCCAAGCTCTGTCTACCTAAGTTTTCCCATTTGTACAATGGAGATTGTAATAGGACCTACTTTCCATGGATGTTTTGAAGATCAAAAGAGATAAAACTATTTGTAAAGTGATTTGCAAATCTTAAAATGCTCTGTAAATGGGAGCTATTATTCTTATAAATGGCGACGTGTTTCCTACATGTGTGCCTTACTCTAACTGTACTTGAAATGCCCACCCACTCCTCCCACAGACATCATGCCTAGTTGTGGGAGAGTGTGCCATGGGTTTATGGGGGGTGTTCTGTAGTTACTCTTTTTATTATGTTATCTTAATTCCTTTGCTTTGAGCTAATTGTGGCTACTGGCTGACTCTAAAGGCTCAGTTGGATGGGGGGGGTAGGATGGCTGATAATTTAAGGAGTGTAGACTCACAGGATAACCCCTAGACCTGAGTGGGGCAGCTACTCTCTGGTGAGATTGTTCAGAGGGGGTACTACATTAGAATGAAATTGAACTTGTCCCAAATATCTATAGATGAGGATTTTGTAAAAAGAAAAGCACAGGAACAATAGTTTTGTTTTGCCATTTTCTTTTCCATCTCATTTTACAGATGAGGAAACCAAGGCAAACAGAGTTAAGAGATTTGCCCAGGGTCACATAGCTGCTATGTGTCCGAGGCCAGATTTGAATTCAGGAAGATGAGTCTTCCTGACACTAGGCTGGGCACTCTATCCACTGTACCACCTAACTGCCCTGTACATTTTAACATCCAAATGTAAATATGAAGAATAAAAATGTTTATCAGTATTTGAAAAAAACCCTACTTGATGAATAGGTTCCAGGGAGTTTCTGTTGGCACCAGTTGCTGTACTCAGTTGGTACTCAGCTCTTTTCCCCCACGTAATTCCAAGCCTTGACTTATTTGATTAATTGGATCTTCACTCAGTTTGCTGCCCACCTGCCTAAAACAGCCCAGCAAACAGCAGCTCCTAAAGCACCTGCTGCCTGGTCCCCATACCTCAGCCATCCTTCTCAAGTACAATCCCTAGACCATTCTCCTTCCTCCAACTCATGCACTTTTCAGGGATTCTCTCAATTTTCAGGATCATAGGAAGTAGAATTGGAAAGGTCCTTGGCATTCATATAGTCCAGGTCCCTCATGTGGCAAATGAAGAAACTGAGGCCCAGAGAGGTATGCTGACTTTCCCAAGATAGTACAAGTGGTCAAAAAGACTAGTCTGATAGGAAGCCAGGCGCTCTAACTCACAATTCAGAGTTGTCCCCAGCCTGCTCTTCCCTTCTGTCCCTCCCTACCCTAGCACCTCAGTCCCCAGTCCTGTGATTCACTGGTGCCCTGACTTCCAGACTCTCACCATGTCTTCTAAGTCCAGCAGATCCTGCTCACTCTGGAGGAGCCCCAGGAGAGCCTGAAGTAGAAAGTGCTGCAAGTTCCTGTCCAGCATGGTCAGTGGGCTTTGTTCATCCTCTACCTCACCCTGCAGTTGCTCAAAGCCTAAGACTGTGTTGACCATCGCTGTCTCCTTGTCATCTAGAAAAAAACAAGACAGCTAAGTTTGGAATCACACCCCAACTCTCAGACCTTTCATCTCTGGTCCCTGGCTGGGATGCCTTAGGCTCAGCAGGCTGCTGGAGTGGGCCCCTGCTTTATACCCTCTTCAACCCAGGTGGGTGTCCATATTCCTTGCCCTCAGGAATTTTACCCAGTTTATGGGGACCCAGGGAGGAGTCTGGGGCCTCACTCCATCGCCAAAGAAGAGTACCTAGTTAAATGCCCTATTCCCAAACTCAGCCACAGGTGGTTTGAATGATGTTCTGTTTCTTCCTTCTTGTAGAAAAAGGAAGCATAGCTGAAGAGTCACCCAGCACTTCCCAAAGAAAGGACATTTTGTTTAGCGTCTTTACCAATGATTTGTATATAGGCATCAATAATTCCTTTGATACTTCAGTATATCTGTAGCCATATTTCACTGCTTAATCATAATAACTGGCATTTATATAACACTTTGCAAATGCTTAACAAATGTTATCTCCTTTGATCCTCACAACAACCCTGGGAGGCAGCTACTATTATCATCTCTATTTAATTTTTATTTTTTTTAATGATATATTATTTTTTCCAATTACATGTAAAGACAATGTTTAACATTCATTTTTAAATTAGGATTTTGAGTTCCAAATTTTCTCCCTTTCTTCCTCTCCTCCCCCAAGACAGTAAGCAAATTTGATATAGGTTATATATGTGCAATAATGTAAAATACATTTCATATTAGTCATGTTGTGGAAGAAGAAACAGAACAAAGGGAAAAAATCATGAAAAGAATGTTTAAAAGTGAAAATAGTATGCTTTGATCTACATTCAGACGCCATCAATTCTTTCTCTGGAGGTGGATAGCATTTTCCATTATGGGTCTTTTGGAATGGTCTTAGATCACTGTTCAAAATGGTACTATTTAAAAAAAAAATTTATAAGAACACTCGACTACATACATAATAGGCGCATCTTGCTGAAGATATGAGAAGGACTATATCTGCAAATGATATTCTAGAGCTATTCACATATTAACAGGCAACTAATTAATTGAAATTTACAGAGAATATGAGAATCCCACCTTGCTTGTTATATATTGCCTAAAAAAAAGTACTTGATTCAGTTGAGCAAAATGCATTCTTAAAGAATCTCTTATAACAACATTTCTTCTATGCATATATAAAAATTGTACAAGGCAGCTAGGTGGTACAGTGGATAGAGCACCAGCCCTGGAGTCAGGAGGACCTGAGTTCAAATTTGGCTTCAGACACATAACATTTACTAGCTCTGTGTCTCTGGGCAAGTCACTTTACCCCAACTGACTCACTAAAAAAAAAAAAAAAAAAAAGTGAGGTATAGAGAGAGCAAGCAATCATCTCTATTTTATAGATGGCGTAACTGAGGCAGGCTACAATTAAGTGACCTTTCCAGGTTCACAGAGCTAATAAGTCCTTTAGGCCAGGTTGAACTTAGGTCTACTGACTTCAGGTCCAGTGCTCCATCCCCTGTGCCATCTACTTGCCTGATGTGAATATTCATGCCAATGGGGAATCTGAGAACTGACTTACACTCCCTTACCCATGCAACTGTTGTCCCTATCTTCCCAAACATCTCCTATAGATCCACCCTTAGTAGGGTGCAGCCCCTCAGATGCCCATCTGTGGTCACACTCAGTACATAACAAATTCTGGACCTTTCCCAATCCTACATTTCCTGGATGAAGGCTTTTAGGAAACTTTTTACACACAGCTCTTACCTGAGGGGACATCCCCTTTAAAATCTGGACACAAAGGATTCTTTGACATTCTTTGACCTAGAGGAGGTGATGAATAGCCTTCAAGTGCAAGGAGCTCTTTTCTAGGTGATGATATACTTAATGAGAAAGAAGAGAGTCTTTGTAAAGAGCTGGTCTATCCTTTTCTGACACTTCCACCCCTCTCTGGGTTAAACAAAACAAGGTTAATCCCTCTTGCTTAGAACAGCTCTAAAATACTTGAAGACTGCTCTCACATCCTCTGTTCTCTAGGCTAACCATCTCTACTTCCTTCAGCCTGTCCTTCCCCGGCATGGTCTGCAGCCCCTCCCTCTGCTCACCCTTCTCCTCTGGATGTGTTCCCTCTTTGGCTGAGGTGTGAGGTGTTCTGGAAGGCTGGGAACCCTGACCCTCTCTCCATGGTCTCTCATCTTCCCTGTCTTAGAGCTAAGCAGAGCAGCAGATAGAGCCCCAGGCCTGGAGTCAGCAGTCCTGAGTTCAAATACAGCCTCAGCTATCTAGTAGCTGTATGCCCCTGGGCAAGTCACTTAACCTCTGTTTGCCTCAGCTTCCTCCTGTCAAATGGGGATAATAATAGCCCCTCCCTCCCAGGCTTGTTGTCAGGATCAGGTGAGATAGTAATTTCAGAGCACTTTCTCAGCCCAGCATCTGGCAGGTAGCAAACACTATAGAATGTTAGCTGCCATCATACAGAGCCTTCCATAGCACTGTCAGGCCAGTCTTCTTGAGTGCAAACCCTGTCCTGCGCCCCAGGCATGAGGGTCTCATGCAGGTACAGATAATAAGGGCAGGCATGTGCCCAGGCATAGAGGTGCTGCCCAGTCCAGTCTTGTGCAGACTCTACCCATTTCAGGCCCTTTGAACTCTCAACTCTTGCATCATAGACACCTGAACACAGGAAGATTCACTCCCTGGACCCTGGGGAAGCCTCCTGGGCAACCTGAGCTTGTGCCTTGCCTCCACTCTCAGAGGAAGAAAAGGGGAAGGGAGCAGGTTTCATTATGTGCTAGGTACTATACAGATGAGGAGACTGGGTCTCTCAGCAATGTGGCCACAACACACAGCTGGTGTGTATAGGAGAGGTAGGATGTGAACCAAGGTCTCTGCTGATCAGGAGACCAGAGTGGAGCTTCTTCATCTGTAAAAGGAGGGTGCTAACGCCTGCCCATCTCACCCCTTAAGAGCCCAGAGGATTCAAGTGCATTATGAGATTTTCTATCAGACAAATACAAAGTAATATGAAACATGTAAGTTATGGTTGACATCTTCTTTAGACAGATGGAGGAAAGGTACCAGAGAACAACCTGACAAACAGGTAGGGTCCAATATTCCTCTAAGACCTTCATCTTTCTATCACCATCATGAGGGCAGAGTGAATGGAGTGCTGGACAGGGAGACATTGGTCATTAACGACACCTGGACTCTCTATCACACAGGGTAGTTGGGAGGTTCCACTTAGGTAATGTACACACAGTGTTTTATGAACCTTAAAGTAATTTCTCTGTGCATATGAGTTTTTGTTGAGTCACATTTTCAGCTGTGTTTGACTCTTTGTGACCCTGTTAGGGATTTTCTTGACAGAGACACTGGAGTGGTTTGCCATTTCCTTCTCCTGCTCATTTTACAGATGAGGAAACTGAGGTAAACAGGGTTGAGTGACTTGCCCAGGGTCATACAGCTAATAAATGAAGATGGATCTGAAGTCAGGTCTTCCTGACTTCAGACCCAGCACTCTATCCGCTGTACCACCTAGCAACCCATATACATCTATACACATGTATGTAGTATATACCTCTGTGTGTATATATATATATATATATGTATATATGTATATATATACATATATATGTACATGTATATATACATAGATGTATATACATACATCTATGTCTATATGTCTATATAAACACACACATATAGAGAGTGTCTCAAAAGCTATTAAAGCTTTTAACTGCACTAAGACTTTTGAGGGCAGCTCTCCTAACCGTGTTTGCTTCAGTTTCCTCTTCTGTAAGAATGAGCTGGAGAAGGAAATAGCAAACTCCCTTAGTATCTTTGCTGAGAAAACCCCACATGGGGTCATGAAGATTGAACATGATCGAATGACAACAAAAAGGCTTTTTGGGACACCTTGTATGTATTTTAGTTCCAGTGATTTCATTGGTGTTGAGAATGGCCAATGAAGAAACTCCCTTTACCAGTGCAGATCTACAACTCCTTAGCAACTCACAGTCACAGAGATTTGCTTGGGGCACTGTGAAATGAAGTGTTTTGTCCAGTGTCACAAAACCAGTACATGTCTGAGGCTAGACTTGAACACAGTTCTTCTGGATTTGGAGGCCAGCCCTCTAACTACTCCATTTCCTTCCTGGTTCTTATTATCTCCTAAGTTCTATCTCCTCCATCCTACGTAGAGGGAAAGGATACTTAGTTTTCTCTGGGGCTCACCTAAGCAAAACCCTCAACTGAATCAAAACCAGAGAGAGCAGTTTCCCAATTCTAGGAAACTAAGAGTGTCCTAGAGGAGCTGCCTGGACAGTGGTCCCATGGATGGGCTATCAAGGGCTCACTGGGCCCAGGGGCTAGAAAGACAACTAAACCTGTCACTCACCTTTGACTGGGAAGGTTTTCTGGTTCTTGTCTGGAAGTAGAAGAACACCTAGATTAAGAAAAAATGATTAAAAATGATAAAATTCAATGCAGTTGCAGCTATGGAAACAAAGGCATAGGGTTCCATTATTGGAGGAGCTATAAATGAGTGTAACCTTTTTAAAAATTTAAATAGTAATTTCTATTTTCCCCAATTACATATTAATAAAAATTTTGTAGCATTCATTTTCACAACATTTTGAGTTCCAAATTTTTCTCCCTTCCTCCATCCCCTCCCCTCTTCTGAAAATGGTAGGCAGTTTGAAATAATTTATACATGTGCTATCATGTAAAATGTATTTCCGTATTCATCACAGTTGTGGAAAGTGAAACAGATGAAAAGGAAATAAAAGCATGAGAAAGAATAAAGTAAGGGGGGGAAAATATGTTTTGATCTGCATTCAGAGTCCATTAGTTTTTCATCTGGGTGTAGATAGCATTTTCCTTCGTAGGTCCTTTGTACTTGTCTTGGGTCATTGTGTTCCTGAGAAGAGCTGAGTCTATAACCAAAAGGAGGACCTGGACAGCATCTCTCAAGTAATTGTCAAGGAAAACTGCCTTGATATCCTGCAACCAGAGGGCAAAATGGGCATTGAAAGAATCCACCAATCACCTCAGGAAAGAGATCCCAAAATACGAACTCCAAGGAACATTATAGCCAAATTAGAAGACTATCAGGTCAGGGAAAAAATTCTGCAAGTGGCCAGAAAAAAACAATTCAAATATTGGGTAGCCACAATCAAGATTACACAGGACTTAGCAGCTACAACCATAAAGGATCAGAGATCATATTCCAGAAGGCAAAAGAGCTAGGACTACAACCAAGAATCACCTACCTGGTGAAATTAAGTATAATACTTCAAGGGAAAAAAATGATCATGCAATGAAATAGAAAGATTTCAAGCTTTCATAAGGAGAAGACCAGAATTAAACAAAAAATTTGATCTCCGATATCGAGACGCAGCAGAAGCCTAGAAAGTTAAAAAGGGAAGATAAAACAAAGGATTCAATGGAACTGAACTGTTTACATCCCTACATGAGAAGATACTTGTAATTCTTAGAAATTGTACCACTAATAGAACACATCAAAGGAATATACATAGATAGCGGGTATGGGTATAAGGTAAATTTGAGGGAATGAAATAAAAAAATAACTAAGGGGTGATAAAGAGGAGTACAATGGATACAGAAGGAAGGGAGAGGTAGAACTGGGTAAATTATTTCACGGGAAGAGACAGGGAAAACTTATTACAGTGGAAGGAAAGATGGGAGGGTGGGTGATGGGCATCATTTGAATCTTACTGTCATCAGTACTGGCTCAAAGAGGGAATAATATACACAAGCAGTCGAATATAGAAATCTATCTTGCCTGACATGAAAGTAGGAGGGAAGGAGATTAGGTACAGATGGTGGTGGTAGGACTTGCAGAAGAAAGGGCAGATGGAGGAGGTGGTAGACAGAAGCAAAACACTGTCAAGGAGGGAAAGAGTCAAAGTAAAGAGAGGACAAACAGGAGGAAAAATAGAGTGGAGGGAAAGACACAGTTAGTAATTATAATTGTGAATGTGAATGGGATGAACTGTCCCATAAAATGGAAGCAGATACCAGAGTGGATCAAAAGCCAGAATCCTACAATATGTTGTTTCTAAGACAAATACAAAGGACTCAGAAAGGAAAACACTATCCACATCCTGATAAAAAAAACTGATGCACTCTGAATGCAGATAGAAGTGTACTTTTTTCACTTACTTTGTTCTCCAGTGGTCCTGGATAATTAACTTGACACTTGGAAAGCAAGTATACTGCTCTCAGGGATAGTCACTGTCTTCACTGTGTTCAAACGACCCTGACTCTCGCCCTGAGGAGTGAAGGGAAGAGGGAAGGAATTACAGATTTAGAACTGGATGGTTCCTGAGAGGTCAGCTCATCCAACTCTCTCATTCCAGGAAATCCCATCTCAGATGAAGGGACTTGCCCAAGGTCATACAGCTGGAATCTAGACTCCTGTGCTTTGACTCCAAATCCAGTGCTCAGAGAAGGCTAGGCTTACAGCAGGGATCTGAAGATTAGGGAGTGGAGGAGGTGGGGAGCAGAAGTCAGGATGGAGTCTGGGTGGGAGTCAGCCCCCAGTTCTCTGCAATGGGGAGAGAGGGAAGGAGAAGAAATAGTAGGCAGGGACAGAGGCTTTGAGCTACAAACTGGGTTGGGTCTTGTCAGATGCAGATGTGACTGAAGACAACAATCCTCTCTCAGTTATTTGCAGGTGTCCCCTAAGCCATTTCTCCACAGCTTTTCAACCCTAGGCTGCTCACCTCTAATCACTCTGTGTGTGTGTGTGTGTGTGTCTGTGTGTGTGTGTGCTTCCTCATCAGACAGTCCTGGGAAGTCTCATCACATTTAAAGGAGCTTCTTGGAGTCATGAGGAAGGGAATGCAGCAGCTTCCCGACTTAGCCTACTGTATTCCTAACCGCAATTTAAGTTCTCTTAGATTATGTGCTGTTTGATGAATATCCACACCGCTGAGAGCTGACTAAGCACCCATTACCCACAGTAGGACTTGCTATTTTTAATGGATATACACCAGACAGGCAGCAGGAAAGTGACATGGACCTACAGAGGCTCCAGGCCCAGTCCAGGTCTCCAGCTGCCTGCTGGGAGTCTCTGGGGATGTGGGGCTAAGGCTGGAAGGTCACTGGATGCTGGAGCACTCAGACCTTCCTCCCTCCCCACCCCCATCTCTCCAAAGTATGTTCTAACCTGGACACATGAGAGCCCAGGAATGGTGATCTTTCCAAAGCCTTCCCTATTTCTGGACCTCTTCAGAATGGCCTCTTTCTGGGTCTTCACAGCTTCTGTCACAACATACAGGTTCTCTCCCCGTTTCCGAAGCTGCTGAAAGATGGAAGGCTCTGGTGTTTTCAGTTTCCTGTAGGAGAAGAGGAGAGAATGCAGCAGGCAGGGGATTTGGGATTCCCTCCTCCCATCCTTCTCAGTTATGACCTTGCTCGAGGCCATCTCCAGGTAGAGCATGTTTGGATATCATCAGGCTATTGCCTTGGGGGAGTTTATATGGTGTGAATATGTGAATATAATGTGGCATAATATAGGGGTTTGGACTGGGGGGATGGTTTGTGCACATGTTTAGAAGGCCTAAAGCTGTGACTGGTGCCAAAAGGACCCCTGTCTCCTATGAAGTCAAACACATTTTGGAGGGATCTCATTGAGGCAGAGCTATCCAAAGAAGGGCCACCAAGATGACAGTGAGTTTGAAAAAAAAAACAATTAAGTGGGACAGAAACTATTCAAGGGACTGGGGCTGTTTAGCCTGGAGAAGAGAGAGTTTATTGTTTATATTGTTTCCTGTCCCTGCTTCCTTCACTTTACACCATGCTTTATTGAATTCATCATGTTGGTCTTTTTTTTCTTACAGCAGATTCATGTGCTATCATAGTATGTTTAGCTATTTCCCTTATCAATGAACATCCCCTTTGTTTCCAGTTCTTTGCTACCACAATAAGTGTTGCTATAAATATTTTGGCATGCACAGAGTTTTTCTTTATGAAAATAACCTCCATGGGAGTAAATTCCTACCAGTGGAATCTCTGGGTCAAAGGGCATAGACATTTGAGTCATTTTCTTTGCACAATTCCAAACTGCTTTCCAAACAGGTTGTTCTTAATTCACAGATCCACCAATAATGCATTAGTGTACCTGTCTTCCCACAACCTTTCCAACATTGACTATTCATGTCTTTTGTCCTTTTTGCTACTTTGCTGGATATGAGGTAAAGCCTCAGGGTTGTTTTGATATGAATTTTTTCATTACTAGTAATTTGGAGCATTCTTTCACAGTTTTGTTAATAGTTTTGCAATTTTTATAAGAACCATTTGTTCAAATTTTTAGAGGTTGGACTAGTTGTCCTCTCAGGCTTCTTCTGGCTCTGAAATACTAGGGTTCTATCAAATGAAGTTGGGTGGGATAGGGCTTACATGGTTCTATAATGTGGGTGAAAGAATAATGAGGAAAACAAGTTACAAGCAACTCAGAGTTTTTTTGAAATATTTGTAATCCAATGTAGAGATGATAGGTTATAAGCAGGAGGTAGTGATGTTAGCTATAAGACTCTTTTAACTCTTTTTTCCCTGTCAAACAAGGCCTTTTTCGTTTAACTCAAGAGAGCAGTTTTGTCAGATTTGAGATAATGGGAGACTTTGACCACCTAGACTTGAGATGGAAGAGTTAGATAGGGAACCACATGTTGACTGGGGGGCTGTGATTTCCTAGTGCAAAAAATAGAGATGTCAACTAAGGGAAATGTCTTCTGGCATCTGTCTTCTTGGTAATGAGGGTTCATTAGTTAAAGATCTCAACATGAATAGAGGAAGTGATTGAAAGAGAATCACCATCAAGGTGTTTGGTGAAGGGAGGATACAGATCAGATGAAAACAAGCTTTAGAACACCACATAAGGAGTGACTGTCCTTAAGTATTAGTTTAACTGTTAGTACTCCATATGGTAAATTTTTGTGCAGCAAATGTGTTAATATACAAATGAAGTAGGAACTAAACAATGATTCTTTCTCAATATTAAAAATACCAGAAGACATAAAACAAGTTGTAGCTAAATTGAATGGCAGCTGACAAGTTCTGTGGTGGGAAAGCAAATACAAAAGTAGAGTTAGTTTTGAAGATGACAAGAAATGTAATTTCATGGCCACCTGGTCGTTTTGCTTTCCAGTGCTCATGAGGGGCAGAAACAGACTGCTATAAAGATGACTGCAGATTATGCACCAAACTCTGGGTGGAAGATGAAGAAGGGGAGAAATTTTATGAAGAATTTGATATGCTTTCTGCCTTTGGTAGGAGGACAGCTCTAGCAGATATCTGAATAAAAGAAGTTTCCTGTTGATACTATCTCGTGCAAGACTTGTACACTGTTGTTGGAAGCCCTCATCTATTTAACCTGTCTGTCCAGGTGATCTGTAGTAAACTCCCAGGACAAGATTGCTTCCATTTCTCCCTCTGTTCATCTTCAGCTTTACTGATGCTTTTCCCCTTTGGTTTCTGGATTTTCTCAAGTGAATATACAATTCCTTTGCCTCTTTCATCTATTTTGTTCCTTTTGACTAAGGTAGAATCATAACAATAGCTGACCTTTAAACTGTTAGTAATGATAATGATAACTTATGTTTCTAGGGTGCTTTAAGGCTTCCTTGAAAATATGAGAAGGAAATAGTCAAGTTTTCAATGGAGATTTTCAACAATAATCTTCATAGTCACATAAATGACTGAGAGGTTTATCCAATACAAGATTCTCCTGCTATTATTATTTTTTGATAATCAAAAAAAGTACTGACTCAGTTAAGCAAAACTAAGTGTGTTTGGATCCTGCAAGATTGCTTGTCAACTACAACCACTTAAACAGCATTGTTAAAGATATGCTGAGTTCTAAAAACTGCTGGGACGACTGGAAGGCAGTGTAGAAGACAGCAGGCTTAGAACAGCACCTCACAACACAGCCTGGAGAAGAGGGCAATAAGGGGGAACTCAACTAAGGTCTGTGAGTTTATTCGGAATAGGGAGTTGAAGGGATTTCTTCCTCCATGGTCCTTCTCTAGTCCTTTATCATGACCTGAAAACTGTGGTCAATCCAGCCAAGATGGAAAGGCTTTATAGGCTGAATGAGAGAATCCACATCAATTGTAATAAGAGATGCAAACAGGAGTAAATGGAAGAGAAAGCGTATGGGGGGGGCATGGAGAGCATGAGATGGGGAATGTGGCTGTAAGGACAAAGGAACATTGTACAACATTATTGAGGGAGTATATGGCCCTAGAGCAAAGACAGCCTGGGATTGCATCATCCTCTTCATCATCATGAACACCTTTACTGAGCACTGTGTATAGGGAACCTCAGAGGTGGCTCTTGGATATTTCTTTTTCTTTTCTTTCTTTTCTTGTCTTTTTTTTGCTAGGCAATGGGGTTGAGTGACTTGGCCAGGGTCATACAGCTAGTAAGTGTTACGTGTCTGAGGTCACATTTGAACTCAGGTCTTCCTGAATCCAGGGCCAGTGCTCTATCCACTGCGCCACCTAGCCGCCCCTGGATCGTGGATATTTCTGATTCTGGTCCTAGAGAAATGGTCACATAGAATGAGGCCTTTGGTGGACTTCCTGCCTCCCCAGTCAGCCCCATTCCCACACACTAGCCACCTCTCCTAGGACCCATACCTGCTCTCAAGTGGCTGTCACCGGCAGTCCCTGCAAGTCTTTCACATTAGCCAGCAATAATCAGAGCCACCATTTCTCTGACGCTTAAGGATTTCAAAAGGCTTTCCTCACAACAAGCCCCATTTTATAAATGGAGAAAGTGAGGGTCACTCATTGATCCTTGACCGTAGGCATGTCTCTTTAGTCCAATGACTCTGAGTTTCCTCCTCTGTCAAATGAAGATTAGAACAGATGTCCCTTTCAGGGCAGCTAGGTGGCACCTTGGACAGCCTGCTGGGCCTACAGTCAGAAAGTCCCACATTCAAATGTGGCCTCAGGTACCTACTAGCTGTGTGACCCTGGGCCAGTCCCTTAATCCTATTCACCTCTCTTTCCTCACCTATAAAATGAGCTAGAGAAGGAATTAGGAAACCATTCTAGAATCTCTGCCAAGAAACCTCAAATGGGCTTTCGAAGAATTGGACACGTCTGAAACAAGTGAACAACAACCACAGTCCCTTTCATCTTTAAATCTTTTGCTATGCTAGATGCTGTGTTGAATGATATACCCACTAGTTAGTAAGTAACAGGACTTCTAGTCCAGACTGCATTGAAGAGGAAGGACATATAGATAGCCTATTAGCTAAGCAGTTCACTCAGGAAAGCAGGTGCATCACCCAGAACCCACCAGCAATCATCAGGCAGCTTCCTGATTGGCTGAAAAAGGGTTTGGAATTACAAAACAGAAGAATGAGCTCAGGCCAGAATACCTGGTGGGCCAATCACAAATCAGTGTAATGAGGATGTTTCAGTGGGGAAACTGCCTTTCTGCCATCCCAGGCTCACTTTCAGTTCACATGAATATGTCCTGATTGTTGCCTAGATTTTGAAATTGTTCCCCTCCCTATGGCATCCTATAGAATTAGCTAATGACATTTGTTCTCCATCTTTCATACGAAGGGGAGAGGAAATCAAAAGTATGATTACGGTGCAGCTAAATGGTGCAGTAGATAGAGTACAGGCCCTGGAGTCAGGAGGACAGGAGTTCATATCTGGCCTCAGACACATAACACTGCCAGCTGTGTGACTCTGGGCAAGTCACTTAACTCCCCCCCAAAAAAGTGTCACCAAAAGCTTTCTACCTACACTCAAAACAGAACAAGTCATTCTAGCACCCGTGGCAGCGGACAACGTGCTAGCTTCAGAAGCAACTCCTTTCAGCCTCAATTTACTCGTCTGTAAAATGAAGGGTAAGACACTAGGTGACTCCTCAATTCCCTTCCTACTCTAAATCTTGGGTCCTATAATCAGCCCAAAAGGTCACAAAGACAAAATACTTTCCTCCACAGTGTGCCACTGCTGAAAAACATTGCACATTCCTCTTTCAATCATTTAGCCGCCCAAGGGGACAATACTTTTTTTTTTTGGTTAGGTGGTCAGGGTTAAGTGACTTGCCCCGGGTCACACAGCTAGTAAGCGTCAAGTGTCTGAGGCCACATTTGAACTCAGGTCCTGCTGACTCTGAAGCAGGAGCTCTTATCCACTATGTTACCTAGCGGCCCTGGGAGTAATACTTTTTAAATGACGGTAATGAGGAGCCAGGAGAGGGCAGCAGCGTCTAGGGTTTCAGCTCCTTAGCTAGCTTGAAATAAAGAAACTGATAAACTACTTAGACAAGCTGCTTACCCGTGGTCTAAATCCAGGGCCCTTCCCCCTGCATTGTGTCTCTGACGCTTACAGATCATCTCCACCCAGATGTCCTGCTGATGCCTCGAGCTCAACCAGCCCCAAACTGAGCTCATGCCACTGCAAACCAGATCCTGTTCCTGATTTTACTATTCCTGTCTGTAACAACTCTGTTCACACAGTCTTCTGTGTTGATAATCTGGGAATTATTGCTGCCTTTCCACTCTCTCTCATGTCTCACATCTAACCAGTGATTCCATCACCTTTTACATCTGTCCCCTCCTCTCAATACCCACTGCTTCCACCCTATTACAGCCCCAAATTACCACCTGCAGGAACTAACCCAATTGCCTCCAGATAAGCCATGCTGCCTCCTCCATCCTCTCCCTCCTTTACTCTGGTCTTCATATTGCTGCCAGACTCATCCTCCTCATCTGTCAATCTGGTCATGTCATTACTCTGCTCAAGAGTCTTCAGTGACTCCCTATTGCCTACTAAATACAGTTCAGACTCCTCTGTCTGACGTTTCAAGACCTTCCTTCAATCTGAGGCCCACGTACCTTTCCTACCTTATTTCATAGGACTCCTCAGTCTTTCCATTCCATTCAGATAGGACTGTTTGAAACTGCCCTCAAAAAGGCAAATCGAAACAACCCTGAGGTTTTACCTTACAACCAGAAAACTGGCCAAGATTAGAAATAATAGACGTGAGCAGTGTTAGAATGGCTATGGAGAGAGGCACACTAATACACTGGAGATGGAGCCATGAATTGGTTCAATCTTTCTGGAAAACAATTTGGAATGATGCTACAATGTTCACATCTTTGACCTGGAGGTCCCACTGCTAGGCATGTGTGCCCCAAGGAGGTTAAGACAGGTAGTCTTATTCATACTGGCACCTTTTATGGTAGTCAAGAACTGGAAACTAAGTAGATGCCAAAAAAAAAAAACCCCAAAACCTGTGGCACCTGAATGTATGAGTAGGAGAAATAAAGAATTTGAAGAATTCAGAGAAACATGGGAAGACTTCTATGAACTGACGCAAAATGAAGTAAACACCAGCAGGAAAAGAATATACACAGTGGCTACAATGGTGTAAATGGGAAGATCAAAACCAAAACTTAATGCTGAATAATTATAATGACAGAGCTTGTCCTTGAGGAATAAAAGGTGAGAAAATGAACCTTCCTCCCTTTCCTGCAGAGGTGGAGGACTATGGGTGTGGAGTATTGTATATGCAGCCAGACTCAGCTGCCATGTTGGCTAGTTTTGCTGACCCATTTTCTCCCTTTATTTTGTGTTTTTTGTCACAAGCAATGGATTACTAGCTGGGAAAGACATTAAGGTGTGGAGGTGCTATATAAACAAATGATATCAATATATATTTTAAAACCACTGCCCCTTGAACATGCCTTCTTTGCTCTTGTTGAAATGTTTGAAATGTTTTCCCTTACTCTCTTAACCTGTTAAATTCCTACCCATCAATTAAAGTTAAACTCAAATGCTCCTTCCTGCAGTAAACCTTCCCACATCACCTGATGGGAAGAACCTTCTTCCTTGGACCTCACTTTGTACCTTCCTAGTACACTTAGATAATATTGTGAATTGTTGTTTAAGTGGATTATTCTCATCCCCCACTAGACTGTGAGCTCTGTGAGGCTAGGGAGAGGGTGTTATCCAGGCCTCAGACAGTACAAGACTTAACCACTACCCAAAGAAAACTCTGACTCTCTATTTCTCTCTGGTGGCCCCTGGGTCACTTTGCTTTGCTCCTCCACCTTCCCCCACCCCAAAGAGAAGTCACTGGAGCTCTCAGATCTTGTCTTGTCCATTCCTCTCACCTTTCCTTCTGTAGGCTGTCCCAGATGTTAGGGGATACGGTGAGAGTCTTTACCTCAAGGACGGTTTTGTTTGACACTGAGGTCTTTCCTGAAATCTTCCCCTGCACAGAGGCAGTCACTGCCAAACTGCCAGACACCAGCCCATCCACCTCATCATTAAAGTGGAATGGTCCATGCTGGGTCACTTCTGGAGAGAGAGAGGACAGCTAAATGAGCATTAAATGTGGTTGTGCAGCAGGGGCCACCACGGGATGAGGTAAAGGCATCTGGGACCCCAACCTTATGTTTACCTCCCATGTCACAATAATTCACAGTTCTATAACACTTTAAGATGTAACAAATGTTTTCTGCACAACCAACGTGTGAAATGGGGCATACAAATATTATCATTCCCATTTTACAGATGAGGAAACAGAGTCTCAAAGCAGGTAAGTGACTTATCCCCAGTCACACATCTAGTAAGTGGCAGGGCTCAAACCCAAGTCTCTGGCTTGTTCCATGGCTGTGTATTGCCTCCCCAATTCACCCCCACCTCTGTTTAGGGTGGCTGGACAGAAATCTTTGGATATCACTGATACAGGACAGCATGTGCCCACACAGTCAGTCCTAGGAAAGCTGTGTATTCTGGCCAAGCCCGGCGGGCCCATTTCCCCTTCAAAATCGATCTTAGTAGTCTTACTCTCGCCCCTCTCACCTACTTGTGCTGGCCACCCCCCTACCTCCCCAGGGGATTGTACCTGGTTCTGGGGAGCTGGGATCCAGAATGTCCTTGAGAGTCAAATTGAGGCAAACATACTGTGATCTCCAAAATAAGGAGCTCCTGGCCTTCTTCCAGACCAGGCAGTAGGGACTGAAGCGGGTGGAGCTCTTCAGGCTGTCCACAGGGATCAGTTCCCCATTTTTGCTCAGCTCTCGAACCACATTTTTGGCAGCCCACTCAAATGAAGAGGCCATGGCTCTTAGGAAGGGTGAGAGAGAAGAGGGGACAGAAGCTACTTAGTCTCTCTGACTCTTCTCTCCTGAAGGGATGGAGTAGTTAGATTAATGCCTTGCAGGTAAGCCATCAGACAGCCAGTCAGTCCAAAAACATTTATTATGTACCTACTAAGTGCCAGGCACTGTGCTAAGCACTAGGCATAAAAAAAAAAGACAAAAAGATACCCCTTGTTTTTGAAGATTTCACAACCTAATGGGAGAGATAACGTGCAAACAACTATGTGCTATATATATATATGTGCATATATATACACACACACATACGTATACATATACACATGATAAATTGGAAATAATCAACAGAGGGAAGAGCAATTAGGGAATTTTCTCTGGGACTTGAGACCTGAGAATCCAAGATGGCTAGAGGAGGAGGGAGAACCTTCCAGGAACAGAGGACAACCAGAGGAAATGTCCTGAGCCATCAGAGAGTACAGGGCAGGGAGTAAGATACGAGAAAATGAGAAAAATAGAAGGGGGCTACATTAGGAAGGGCTTTAAATACCAAGCAGAGCGTTTAGTATTTGATTCTGGAAGTGTTAAGGAGCCACTGGAGTTTACGGAGTAGTGGGGTAATGTGGCCGGATTTGCACTATACAAATCTTAGCTATCATCATCATCATCATCATCATCATCAATTATCTCTTCTTCCTCAGATAAATCTGGAAAAACCTTTCTGGAGCTATTGCCTCTACTTTACCTTCCACTACTTAAACCCTTGCAATCCAGCGTTTGTCCTCATTCTAAACTGAAACTTCCCTCTTTAAGGATACCAACAGTCATTTAATTTGCTGACTCTGATGACTTTCTCAGTTCTCATCCTTCTTGACCACTCTGCAGTCACCCCTCCTTCAGTTTTCATGGCACTGCAAGGGACTGAGAAGCAGCTAACATTTGTGTAGCTCTTCCTATGTGACAGGCACTGTGCTAAGTGCTTTAGAATTACTATGGATCCTCACAGCAACTCTGGGAGGTAAGTGCTCTTATTATCCCCATTTGATAGAAGATAAAACTGAGGAAGGCAGAGGCTCAAGGTCACACAGCCAATAAGTATCTGAGGTCTGATTTGAACTCAGGACTTCCTAATTTCAGGTCCAACATTCTATCCACTGTGCCACATCACTGCCTATAGAGGAGAAAGGTTCAAGGCAAAAGTTCTTAACATTTTTTGTGTCAGGGACACCTCTGGCAGTCTGGTGAAGTTTTCAGACCCCTTACCAGAATAACATGTTTAAATACATAAAATAAAATACCTAAGATTACAAAGGAAGCCAAATATAATTGAAAATATAGATCTAACTTTTTTTCCCTATTGAATTTCACAGACCCCCTGAAATCTATCTATACATGCCATGTTAAGAACCTTTGGCTTAAAAGGGTACTTCAGAGTCAAGTAGAGTTTTTTAAAGGAAGGATAAGATATGAATACACTTATAGAGAGCTGTGAAGGAGCCAGCTGATAAGGAGAAAATGATGATGAAAGAAGCAAGCAACGGGCAAGAAAGGGAGAGAAAGGAAGGCAGATGAATGGCATTGTCATGGAAAAGAAACATGTAAAGTCAGAGACTGCGACAAATCCCTGAGGAACTGAGATCCCTGTACTATAAAGTCTGAGGCTGTGAAGAGAAACTGAAATTTCTTGATTATGACTCTCTTGGGGGATGAAATGAGTGACACACTTGGGGTACCCCAGAACTAGTGCAGATTAAAATGTCTGCATCCTAACCCAAGTCTTAACAGCAATAGATTTTACTTTAGAGAGGTTCCATCTTGGACTCTGTTTTAGGGGCCCTAATTCTTAAATACCACATGATCTTTAGGGCAGCAGGGTGGGTTCAGGCAGCATGACCCCCTTGGATGTTATTGCCAGGGAGGTAAAACCAGGGGAATTCTGGTGGCCCCCAAGAGACAAGTTTTGAGGAAGAGGCTAAGAATAACTCCACCATCGTCTTCCTGTTTGAGGTCAAGGGCTGGTCTGGGAAAGGGAGCCCAGCCCCATGCTAGAATGAATAACAGGGCTGGAGAAAGAATGGGCATAGTCGAGCCTCAGGAAACAGTTCTCCCAAGTCCTAGAGTCAAAGTCAGAGTTGGGGAAACTGATAGCACTGCCTGTCTTCTTTCAGAATAGACTGTGCTAGGGAATCCCACCAGCTTACCTATCCAGCCTTTTTAGATCTCTTGACATACCTAAAGGGAACCAGGAAGGGAGAAGGGAAGATATCAGCCTCTGGACTCTGGCTCACTCGTTAACGCTCCGGGAGGGGTTTGCAGGCTACAGGCACCTAGCTGGTTCTTTCCCAGGTTTTTTTCTAAGGGACCTTCCCTTCAGCCCCCCCTAATCCCCGCCTTGCGCCCTGCAGCTGCTTATCTTGGCAGCCTTGTCCTATCTGGGGGTGCAGGAATGTGTACGGGGTGCGGTAGCAGTATGGGGTGGGGCGGAAGTCTCTCCTTCCGTAAGGGCTGAGCTTTGTTTCAAAGAGATTTTGGGAGCTGCTCTCCACCTCCACCAAAACTAAAACTACTTGGCTTTTTCCCTCATCATGCTCCTTTTTCTTGCCCCATTTCTAGAAAGAAGGACATCAGAAGTCAATGTGAGAACTGCAGTTGTCTGTCTTCCGCCCAGCCTGACATCAGGGGGACGACAGAGGGTTGTTAACAGGACTTGTACTGAGGCAGTCTCTAACCCGAGAATGCTCCCAGCGGCACAAAGCTAAGAGATTAGAGCGCCATTAATCAAGTAGTTTAATTAATCAGTTTCAGAGTGAAGTGTATTCTCATAGCTGAAGTAAAAACACAGGTTATATGCTTAAATCACAAGTGGGGAAGATGAGGGGAAGGTGGATTAAAAACAAATTGATTAGGCGATACCCACAAATGCCACAATGCAACAATTCTGGAGTCAAGTCTTTGAGGGTTGTGACCACCTCCCCTACGTACATAACCAGAATTCTGCTACAGGAACAGGTTCTACAATTTTTGATTCGATTCACTTAAGGGCCAGTGACTATGAGTTATCAATTTTGATGAATCAGTTTAAGCTGCATTGTGAGCTCTGACTCCTGAGCCAAAGAGGCAGCTCTGGAGAAATCTAAATTATCAGTATATTCATTACACTTGTCATATGATTAATATGAAAATTCTAATTCCTTTCTCAGGGTCAATAGGGAGAGTCAGTGTTCTGGCAGTCAAAACCACCCACTTACTCCACTCCACCCCCTCCCTTTCCTCTTGTTTCTTTTCCCTCACTCCTCCCCACCAAGTTCTACATTTGGCAAAGTAGGGATATATCAAGGAGAGAGAATCCTTCACTCATTATTTATTTCTTGAACACCTGCTGCATAGAAAAGCTTGTGCTGGATACTTTTCATCCAGGATGTCAACGTGAGGAAATCCTTGCAAACAGTATGGATAGAAGCACATGCAGCTGAGCCTGAGCTTTCCAACCTCATTAGCAAATCAAAGTTGAATTTCCTCTTGTTATTCATTCTGCTTCCTCTAGACCCTAGCCAAACCAAACTACCTTCTGTCCTCCAAACATAGCCTGATGTTCTCCCCTACAGAATTCAACAAACATCAGTTTGGTGCCTACCAAATCACTGTTGGATGTGGGACACAGAGCCAGGTTCTGGGGGAGATACAGAAGACTTGCCCTCTCCTGTAGGTGTGGTGGGGAAGCTAGAAGTCCAGGTTGCTATAGTGCACAGGGTTACATGAGAAGGACAAAAGAAAGGACCAGGGAAGTTCAGGAGCCAGGAGAAGGTCACTAGCTAAACTGAGACACTGAGGAGAGGATATTGGAGTGGGACTTTAAATTTGAGTTTACCCTATAAAAATGGAGAGAGAAGACACTGTGTGAGCAGAAGAAGGAAGGCATAGAAGCAGGAGAGGTCCTGTGTTTTAGGAAGTTGTAGAAAGAAAAGGGAGAGACAATTTGTTGAAGAATGTATCACAATCATAGAATCCCAGCGTTGGAAGGGATGTCAGATCTGCTGACAGCTAGGAGCCCCTTCACAACGTGCTAGACAAATGGCTGCCTCTGGAGCCTGGATGGCCTTTTGGCTTACTTGTTCTCACAGCCTCTTCTAACATTGAGATATTGTTGGTTTTTCCATCTCAAAGTTTTTCTTGCAATAGGAATTAGTAAGTCAGTAAATAAGCATCTATTAAGTGCCTACTGTAAATACCAGGTACTGTGCTAAGTGTTGAAGTTTCATGGTGTTTTCTGGCAGCTGTCTCAAAGAATTCAGTCAGACCACCCTAATCCAAGTACAGGCATTTGTTGAGAATTGATGCCCCTCAAAAGTGGGTTAGGTTCCAAAAGGAACCAACAGCACAGTGTGATGACGAAGGCAAATCTATAGCATGATGATGTTGATTACTCAACAGAAATTATGAATATTAAAAAGGCAGGAGGGGTTTGTTAAGGGATTAGGTAATAGGGGAGAAGTCCCTTCCATGGTTTGGTGGTCAAACATCCTGCTCGTGCTGCTTTCTGATTGGCTAGCTATTGTGGTCCTGTCTGGTCGAGATGGATAGTTAGGTATTGTGGTCCTGCCTTGGGCTCAGTGGATGACGTGATTCTGGTTGAGTACAAGGACACACCTGTTCAAATACATGAATTGGATCTGAGGGCAGTGGCTATCTTGAATCTGGGGGCCTGAGGTGTGGTTAAAGCCAGATTGTATGGTTAAATCAGGGCACACCTGCTGTTTCATGGGGCCCAGAAGGAAGTTAGAATGTTGGGGCTGGGGCCAGCTCTGTTAGGATTCCATCACTAAGCACTGGTGTGCAGGCTTTTGGCTCAAAGGAGGATCAAATGAGCAGTAGCTCTCAACCATCTGTAGAATTAAGCCTTCCTGAGTCCAGGGAACATTTCACACCTTGACCAGCCCAACCACACACTCCATTTATTCCCCATATTCTCTGGAAGCACCTTTTTACTCTCATCTCTCTTAGGAAATGATC